AGAAGGCGAATGCAGAGTTGACGAACAAAAACAGGTCTGGCAATTCCGCCTGTACCGGCGATCAATCGACCCCTTCCCCGGCTTTTCTCCATCAACGCGACCGCAACCTCGACGTCAAAATACAGCATACCTTCGTTGCGAAAGACCTTGCCAATCTCAAAGACACGATGAAGACCACCAATAACAAGCCGCTAATGGGATCCAGCAACAGATGATTGAACACCAGACGAGTGGGGGAAAAGTTTGGGAGGAAAAGTTCGGTCCACAAAGTAGCACCGCACCGCTTATAGGTCCACCTACCTTCAGATAGAGTTCAGGGGCGATGCGAAGGTGCAGGTCGGCCTGCAATGCATTGGCGCGGGTGATAAAAGGGCGAGCAATGGCGCCGCCACTTTGGGCGCTTAGAATAGGCGTTTCAACTTCGACAAAGTCGCGAAGTGCAAAAAATTCACGGATGGTGCTCAGCACCTGTGCAAGGGCCACAGTGACGTGAGTTCGAGACTACGAAGGCAAGCATGTCCCAGTTCATGGTCGTTTTGAACGCAAAGGGCGCGAGTGGAATCTAGGAATGCACCTGATTGCGCATCTTCAAAGTCTGGCGCAGGTCATTGTCGACTGTGTTGAGATAAATGTGTCGCTCACGAACTTGCTTTTCCTTTGGCATTTGGCGTAGCAGTGGCATAGCAGGATGGACGTGAGCATCGGAGAAGGACGGTTGCGCACAAGATGATGTGCGGTCAAGGGGCCATGAGATACCTTGTCTTCAATGTGGTCAGGAAGTTGTGCTTGACAAGGGGCAATAACACGAACAAGTTGAGCCTTGAGGGTGGGCTCTCCTGTTTTGGTCTTGCCGGGAGAACCAAACACCTCTGATTGAACCCGTGAGAGAAAAACAAACAAACACAACGTGAGACGATTATCCGTGAAGTGAACCGTGGATTGGTACGGAAAGCTAACCAATGTGGTCGTGTCGATGGAGGAGGCGTTGTTGCGAGACTTCATCGAGATGGCGCTTTGAACACATGACCTAAACATATTGAGGAGGCGTGTCCTCAGATGAGGCGAGGGTGACGGTTCCAAGGGCAGAAGCCGTGAAGTGTGCATCCTGGACGGACCTGGATGCGGCCCGAGTGGTCCTCAAGGTCTGAGAAATACAGATGCTTGCCCATCGCACGAACGGATGTCACACGCCCTAATGCACGGTGTTGCACAGGATGAGAACTGGGTGCAACACAGGAGTGCGAGGCAGGAAAGATGGCCTCACCACAGATGCGCATTTGAGTGTCCTGAGCCGTGGCACCAGGCTCAGTACGAGCCGCAGCTGCAAATGCGTTGGCAACATTGCATGCGAGTGCTTGCTGAAACTCTTCAGGTACGGGGCGCAGGTGGTAGAGCATGGGCTCAAAGGGGATTGCTGCAGCTGCTCCAGCCTCCTCACGCGCACGAGGAGTGATGGTGGTGGTGGTAGTGGTGGTGGTAGCCAGTCGTGCCACGCTGTGCAAATTCAATCGAACCATCCGGTTCAACATACGCTGTGGAGCACCATATCCCCAATTCGGGGCTGCGCTGATCCAGAGACGCACCGCCATCTTCGTCCCAGTCCCAATCCCAGTCGCCGTCTCCGTCTCAGACGCACACACGCTCCAAATGCGTGAAAGACACCACGCGTTGAAAAAGTGAGAGAAGAAATGATGACAAAAAAATTATGTGTTGGATGGCTGATCTCTCTCTCTCTCTCTCTCTCTCTCTCTCTCTCTCTCTCTCTCTCTCTCTCTCTCTCTCTCTCTCGCACTGTGTGTGTGTGTGTGTGTGTGTGTGTGTGTGTGTGTGTGTGTGTGTGTGTGTGTGTGTGTGTGTGTAAAGAGACAAGGGAAGGCTGACTGGGAGGGGAATCGATTCTTGTTCGAACAAAACAGGAACACAGATGTTCGCACAAACACCAGCTAGTTTGGCCCGACTCAACCCGCAAGATGAGCACTCAAGTATCGTGCCTCATGCCGCCCATGAACTGCTCGGGGGCATTGCGTGGGTTGATGATTAAAGACTCATCACCCATGCCTTTCCTGCACTAGCTAGTTTTTTTTGACAATGTAGTGTCTTGGCTGATAGCGCCACCTCTGGAGCGCCCTTAGACCTTGGACACGTTCTGGTGAAGGAGGCGTGGTGGAGCAAGCGAGCGAGGCAGCAGTTGATGAGCTTATTCATAGATTCGGGTTCGATCCTTTGCTTGGTCCTGCCTCTTGCAAAATCAAAAATCTGGTTGCTCAAGCCTTGGGGTCACATGCGCGAGGCACATGAGGGCCACAACCCACAACCCCGGCAGGTAAACATACCTCACGAGCAACCTCTTGCGTGTGTCGCTGCTTATCAAGGAAGGATGCACGAGCGTACCACGCGATGCCGATGACGGTGATAGCGACGCCCACCACGGACAGGAAGGTCACGGGTGTGGCAAAAACTAAGATGCCCAAGATGATGGCTAAGACCTGCCAAGAAAGAGCCGGGTGGCGGGGTCAGTCGGTGATGGGGTCAAGGCAGAAGCTCAGGAAAGCGACAAAGGCGATGAGGCGATGGGGCGTGGGGCGATGAGGAAACAAAAGTTAAACCTGTTTGGCAATGCCACCAATGTTCATGGCCAGGGGAGAGGTCTTCTTGTTTGCGTTGAAGGAAACGACATTGAGCAGAAAGGCACCGCTGCCATTCAGAGCGATCATGAGGTAGGTCTCTGTGGTTCCCGTTTCCAATACGCGATCATAGCACGCCTGCATCTCGCCGTTGGCCAACACCGTGATCAACATCTGGGCCATGGCATAGCCCGACATGTACTGAAGAAGATCAAAGGGGTGAAGCTTGAGATCGCCAACCATAAACTGGTTGGTGACCACGCCTTTGAGAGCTGCCAAGAAGGCACCAAAGGCTGTCAAAATGAGCCCAAAGAGGGTGTAGGAAACCTCACCCTTGAGCGCATAGACGCTAACACCCAAGAACATGACGCCAAGGGACGCAAGGACGTTGTTCGAGTAGGACTTGCTCAGCCAAACAGAGCAGATGATCACCGTGAACATGGGGGTCAGAGCACGCACAATCTGGTGCATGGCCATGGAGACCATGTTGAGTGAGACGGCAGAGACAAGAATGTTCACATTGAAGAGAACGCTAAAAAGGAAGAGCTTGATGTGTGCACTCTGGTCGATCTTGGCTGGCTCGATCACACGAAAGCCATGAACCATGACGGAGGCGCCGATAAATGTGCATGTGTAGTGGAGCAGAACGAGCATGTCTGGATACGGTAGCTGGTACGTGTCCAACAGCGCCTTGTTCAACAGCGTCGTGGCCAAGTTCATGGCAATGTAGAGGCTGAGCCACACGAGACCGCCCGACTCCATGACGGCGGTCTGAATGAGCAAATCACCGACGACAGTTTGAGAAACGTCAAAGTATGCACAAGGCCAGCCAGTCCACGGCCAAGATGCTGAAGATGCTGAGAATGCTTGCTGGCTGGTGTCACTCTGGGCCACCAGTCAGGAGATTCACCGCGGCGTACACCCACCCTCCTCTCACAAACAGCCGGCTCAAACGGTCGTCGCTCTTCCAACCACACGATGAATGTGTGTGTGTGTGTGTGTGTGTGTGTGTGTGTGTGTGTGTGTGTGTGTGTGTGTGTGTGTGGTCATTGGAATGTGACTCAAAAGGCATAAAACGTGTTAAAAGTCAGACTTTTCCGAGAGTGATCCTTTGTGGTTGGAATTGCAGATACTCGCGTTATGGGCACGACGGCTCAGTCATAGGTAATGAAGCTTGGGAAAGGCATGGGCTCCCTCAATCAGGCGGGGGCTGCCTGTAGCTTGCTAAGACTTGTCTTGAGGCGCCGCGAGGTGGTCGCTGGAAGCCCTTTGGTGGCTATTGCCGCCTTGATAAAGTCCTTCACGGCCCGCAACTAAGAACACGAAAAAAGAACGAGGTGTATCACGTGAAGGCGAGGACGTGGCAGGATACGTCACACCAAAGCCCTCTCACCTTGGCCAACGGCCCTTGCTTGATAACTTGTTCGAATATTGGACAGACTTTGCTGACAAAAGCCACATGAAAGGGTGGCAGGCAAGCTTCTGCCAACTACGTGCAAAACCCACAAGCCCGTTGCATCGATGATGACTGGATCCGTGACATGACCCATAATGCCAGGCGATTGGTTCCCCAGTACCTACACGATTGCAAAAGTGTACGAGTGCTTCTGGCTCAATCGCGCCCACTTGGGTTGCCACCGCCTCCAGAACCGGCGACACGTAGCCGCGGCCAACCATTACGATTAGCCGCTCCGCAGTGCGTCGATGCAGTTGTCGCTGAGCAACGCAAGAGCCAGCGAGCGACAAGAAACATGAGGACGTGGCCACAAGCCTGAGGCAAAGTACCTTCAAAGTAACAAAGAAAAAAAAGAAGAAGAACCCCCACACCCTCCGGAACGAGAAAGATGAAAGAGGCATATACAACGGGGTGATGAATCGGCTTTCTGAAAACCTAGGTACCCACGCACCCCAGTCGAGTCATCCGTGGCCGTGCCCACCGTCAACCATCCCACCACGATCTGTAGGCACGATGTGAGCATTTGGGGGTACCGTTCGCCAATCTAGACCCGAACAAGTAAACAGATCAGTGATATCAGGCGGCTGTAAGTTCAGGTCTCGGGCAAGCAGCAAGAGTTGTCAGTCGTGCAATTGGCCAAAGCTGACTTCGTCAATCAATCCAAGCAAGAGCTGCACCAAGCCCGATGAGGACGCTTTTGAGACCAGGCCGCCGTCTGCCGTCGAACTCGCCATCCAGTGTAACAAGCCCTGGGCTACCACTGTGTGTATTTCAGAGCAACCAAGACGACTGAGCAAATGGAAAGGCTTGCTTTTCGATCAAACAGCGTTCGGCGGTTGTAAGGGGGGGGGGGGGGGGACAAAGCACGGCATGGACTGGCGGGCGCAGGCGGTACCAGCGTAGTCGAGCGTTGGTCGTAGTTTCTCGATGGAAGACGGTACAAAAGTGGCACGCTCCAGAATTTCATGGGCCGTCACAATGGCATTGCGGTGTGCCAGGTACTGATCGTCTTGCTCCAAGCTATGACAGGGGTGGGGGGAGAAGGGCAACCGTGATTTTCGGCTGATGGCCAAGACGTGGTGCTACTGCAGGCGCTCGTTGAAGCTTGCAAGAAGCCACTCACTCTGCAGGTGTGACTTCGGCTGGAAAATATGCCGCAATCGCCTTTTCAACGCAGGCAAGACACAAAAGCTGGTTGAGTAAAGGCAGCTGAGGACTGATTTTTGACCACGTCTGGCATTCAAAAATCGGGCATACCAAAAGGGTGGCGTAGTAGACGCGATATTCCGGATTAACAAAGCCTCCACCAAACATGATGTTCAACAAATTGTCTGCCCGGATCCAAGGAGATGAGATGTGCGATTGCTTTTTCATTAAGCCAAGAAAAGGTGTGTAGTCGGACAGCAGCGTGTGCAAAACACACCAAGAAGCAATCCGTTGTGCAGCAAGCCAGCGGGGGGCGTTACTTCGCGCTCGCTATACATGTACATGCGATCAAAGGGGTCCCATATATACACATCGGTGAGTCAGAAAGGCACGGGCGCAACGGGCACCAAAATTGGCCATTGCAGCAAAAGTGAACACGACTCACTCGGTGTAACAACGATAAAGTCGAGCCACGTCCGCCATGGCCAGCGACGAGGACTGGGTTAGGCGCGATAGGATGGAAAGTGATTCCGAGGGGGCATGCAGCTTGGACTGCATGAGCGCATGAATATGCCCCACCGACATGCCACTACCCAAGCAAGGACCAGGAAGCAAGCACGCAACGTCAAAAGCTGCAGCAGCCCACGCGCCCGTCTTTGAACAAACTTTGGAAAAAAGATGCTACGAGCGCACAGAGCGAAGCGTACCGGGCCTGCACTTGTTGTAGAATGATGTCAGCTGTGGACTCGGCAAGGAGGGCATGAACACCCTCACTGGATTCGCTGAGACCACGCAGGAGGCTTTGAACAAAGGCGTAGGATTGGAGGCTAATGCAGGCCAGCTTGGTCAGTAGCTGCTGGCGACGCTTCAACTCCTCAAGATCATGCCTGCAGGTGCGAAAGCGAAACGCAATTTCAGTATTTGTTTTTGTTTTTTGCGTGCGCTTTGTAGCGGCACATTTGCGGGTGACGACCAGCGATTGAATTGGCAAGCCAAAACAAACGTTTGATAGAGGCTGGTCACCAGCTTTTGCACCACATCTGTGAAGAGTTCCAGATCAGCTTCGAGGCGGGGCATGGAAGCAACTTGCTCAAAGTGTCCTGTGGAGCGGAGCGGATATGCCAAAATATGTAACAGCCAGAATCCAGTTCACGCGATGACCGTCAAAGAATGCTAGGCGACCAAATGTGGACGCCTTGTCCCTAAGCTGGTGCGCTGAAGCCGCGTCCTCCGTACCGGCATCAGAGAGGCGACGAAGAGCACGGTTCAGAAAAAAGCTTTCCTCAGCCGAGTCGCAGAGGTGAAGGAGAAGCTGGCGCCACTGTTGCTTTTCAATAAGTGCATCCAATGCCTCCGCCACGAGAGCGATGGAACCCGATTGCTGCCAAATGGTGAGCGTGCGAGACGCAGGCGAGGTCAGGTATTGGAGGCGCATGGATGGAAATCTGTCACCGAGGGTGTCAGAGGGAGAAAAGGTTGGAGAGCGAGTCTCGTTCGTACGCCCAATTCCTCCACGCCTTGATTGAGAGCAGGTACACTGCAGCGTTCTTCAAGCCATTTTGTGGCGCACGATTGCAGGCTGTTGTCGATGCTGTCCGTGTCCATGCCTGTGCCCAGTGTGCCCAGGTTGCCGAGTCAGCCACAAACCAGAAAAGCGGTGGACAAAGGAGCGAGTGGGGCTGCTGGGCTGCGAGATGAGTCAAAAGCAGCTACACACCACTTTCGTGCAACATGTTTTGCAAAAGCTGAATCAGATCAGGATACCCGCGATACGAGTTGACGCCATTTTGGATCAGGTCAGTTGGTGCGCCGCCAAGCTTGGATAATCTAGGTAAGATGCAAAACAGGACCACCGGTCAGGGGCAGCATGGGCAGAAACGTGGTGGTGGCTTGCGCTGCATGGTAGGCCTACTTGGCGATGGCATCAACAAAGCTGGGCTCGAGCACGGCATCAGTCTGCTCGCCAAGCGCCAACAAGTCCTCTTGTGTATCCATCGCGCCGATCGAGCCGACCCTGTCTATGGAATACAATAATAATGATAGCATCATGATGAAAAAAGAAGAAGAATACCAGTCATCGTGGGACCTTTGCCTGAACATCCACAGTCCTGCCAACGCACCTAGGCTCCTCCCTGTTGCACACACAGCCTCGACGCAGTGACTGTCCCCCAACACCCGCCACGCGACCGTTTTTTTTTCTTATTTTTTGCTTTTCAGTTGTGAGACTGGAAAATAACATGACCCCTCCTTCTTTTACATAATCCTTTGCGCCTCTTCTTCTTCTGCTCTCTCTCTCTCTCTCTCTGTGGTAGTTGTGCTTCTCTCTCTCTCTCTCTCTCTCTCTCTCTCTCTCTCTCTCTCTCTTTCTCTCTCTCTCTCTCTCTCTCTCTCTCTCTCTCTCTCTCTCTCTCTCTCTCTCTCTCTCTCTCTCTCTCTCTCTCTCTCTCTCTCATATTTCTTGTTGATGTTGGCGCAACAGCAAACGGCAGCGCGAAGAGTGGGCGGTTGACGAGTGAACCGATCAGAAACAGCGCCAGCGTCAGTGCCAGCTGGTCCTTCTATTTTTCTTTCCTGAACGAAGGTGGCGTTTGAGGCAAAGTCGTGGAGAGGGGCCAGACTGAGGTTTGCTTCGGACGAGGCCACTGACCACCCGGCGTCATGGCGATGCACCCCATTATGATCGCCATCGCGGAGACGCCGCCCATCACACGCTTTTATGCCGGTGCCTGCCTCGTGACCACCGCTGCTATCGTACGTTTTTGTCCTTGTGATAACCGGGCGCGCCCTCCTACACCCCCATGGCCTGCCTCCATGGCCCATTGGCTCGCGCATTAATCGGCTGACACTGAGGTTGGCTGCGGATAGATGCTGGACTTGATATCCCCATATCAGCTATACTATTACCCCGAGGCCGTTTATCGCCAGGGCGAGGTACTGTTGGTCGCCTGGACTCTTGCGCATGTTTCAGCTTTCTCCCTAACCTTTCCCAAGCCATCCTCTCCCTCGTCTGGAAGAGGCTTTCCGCTGTATGGCCCTTCTCATGCTACAACTCAACCCACGGCCCTGTCTGCGTTGGCTTAGGTGTGGCGACTCCTGACCAACTTTACCTTCTTTGGCCCCGTCAGCATCAATTGGATCTTTCACATGTTCTTTCTGACTCGCTATTGTCGGATGTTGGAGGAAAACTCCTTTCGGGGTCGCACAGCTGACATGGCATTCATGATGCTCTTTGGGGCTGCACTTCTCCTGATTTTCGCACCGCTCATTCCCTTTACCGACCAGCTCCTCTTTTTGGGCTCTTCGTTTGTTTCCATGCTTGTCTATATCTGGAGTCGGCGAAACCCTTCCGTTCGCATGGGCCTCTTTGCCCTCCTCTTCTTTCGGTACGCCAACGTCCAGCACCTCTTGGTCCTCGCTCGCGCCTCCTCTTCCTCCTTGCCTTGTGGGCGTCATCCCGATTCAATATGGCCTTCCCTCCCGGAACTAGAGCCCCATACTTGCCCTGGGTTCTCCTGGGTATGGGCGTGCTGCTTGGCAATGACCCGTCAGCTGACCTCCTTGGTAAGGCAGAGTGCCTGCACACACCCTTCAGATTGGTCCTCAAAGCGCCGCCGGCTATCGTGACTCTCGCACTCTTTGCTCTTTTCTAAACCGCACTCTCATGCTTTTGAATCTTGGCACACCTATGCTCCCTCTGCATGTGCACTGCCCAAAATAGGCATGGCCGCCGGTCACATTTACTACTTTCTGGAGGACGTCTATGCCAAGCCGCGGTCGGCAGGCGGACTCGGAGGGCCTCGTATTTTAGCCACGCCAACATTCCTGAAGACACTCATCGAGGGTGGGCAAGATTTGCCCAACCCGCCCGCCGACGTCCCTGCTGCCGGTGCGTCGTTTCACTTCAGGCTTGGGAAGCGCGCACGCACTTGTATGTGCAACGGCTTCTGTGGCTCGTCCTTATCCAATCGCGGCCAAACTTGCTTTTTAGGCGGTTATGATTGGGGCCGACCGCCGATGGCAGACGAGGCTGGCGGGGCCCGTCAAGGCAACTGACATCCATTTTTCGCCAAACAACCCAATTCCATGATAATCGAAATGTTGGCCATGCGGGCAGGGCCACTTTGCTCTGGCTCTGCTTCATATGGCATGCAGCGTTGACGTGACGTTGCAATTCCGTCATTCTTTTCTGAATTTGAATGAACACTCGTCAGAGATCCGCGTCAGTCTGTTCACAAGTTTATGCGGCATGCATCCTACCTAACAAGCAAAGGGTACTAGAGATTGCGTTGGTACATGAGTTTTTTCAAACCTATGCGACTGCCGTGGCGGAAGGCGATCGCCTACCTAGAGATCTTGATCGGTGTCGGGATTAAGCTCGTCATACATTTCTTCATCAGCCAGCTCAGCCAGCTCGTCAGCCGACAGATCCGCTGAGAAGGGAATCTCAATGGCCGAGACTGTCAGCGGCCATGCCCCGGCCAGAATGCCAGCTGTCCAAACGCACACGCACACACACACACAGACAGTGCTCAATGCTTCCATGGGTCACGCGTGTATGTGCATGATCCCATGAGCAACGAGACCAGGCCAAGGCACAGCATACCTTGTACGGCCACTCCTACGGCAACAGCTTGGTCGGGATCGATGCTGGTGTGCGGGGGCTTGCCAAACATTTCTGTCAGAGTAGCTCGCACCTAGATGGATACCATGTTACATGCTGTCAAGTCGACATGCTACAGCTGGGCACTTGCAGAACGGAATTACACACACACACACACACACACACACACACACATACCTTTGGCACGCGCGTGCTCCCACCAACAAGAACCACCTCATGAATGCCTTGCGCAGGAACTCCAGCTTTGCTCAATGCCTAAAAAGAGAGACCGAGCAGCACACCGGGGCCTTAGAAGACGCGAAGAGTGCTCGGGCAAGCTTGAGTTGATATCAAAAAATCAAAAAAAAAATACCTCCAGTACTGGTTGACGCATGCGCTCGAAGATTTCTGCATTGATGGCTTCAAACTCAGAGCGAGTGAGCTATGAACAGCCATCAGTGGTGAGGTGACAAGCGCTATCTGGCCCACCAAGTAGACAACTCCAACAGCATGCCCGCGCACGTACCGAGGCCTCAAATGCGGCGTCTGAGGTACCGGCGTCCAGTGCAACGCGAACATCGCACTGCAATTTATCTGATAAACAAACTTTCAGCTCTTCGGCAGCCACGCGCAAGCGCTAGAAACTTGTGTGAGCTTATTTTGCACACACACACACACACACACACAGGCAGGATGTAGCTGGCATCCGAGAATGTTTCACCCCCTACCTGCTGCAACTCGGGACTGTCCTGCATTGTGCCGTTGTAGCGCGACAGCGCTTGCTGGTGAAGATGCGTGTACACTGCATGCCTATGTCGGTGACCAAACACAGCGTGAGAACCTACCTGGAGGGCTTGGCGGACTAGCCGCTGTTGTTCATGTGTGTTTCAAATCGAGACAAACTCAAACGCGCGTGCGTAAGAAACATTGGTTGCAAAGTGAACTCCCAGGCTCTCACGTCAAGTCTTCGCCGCCGAGCTGCTTATCCCCGGCCAGTGCCCGTGTTGCAAACACCCCTGCGTCGCAGCGGATGTAGTCAAGAAAGGCTCAGATTAAGAGCCAAGGAAAGGCAGATGTCAAGGCCACTCATTCCAGACCACCCTGGCTGAAACTGACCGTTTTCCACCTGCAGGAGAGAAACGTCAAGCGTGCCTCCACCAAAATCAAATACCAAGACGTTGCTCCGGGCACTCTGTGGTCATGCATCAAGAGGATCAAAGCTTGGGGGTGTGAAAGGCGTGCATCATGCAAGGTGCAGGCCCTTGTGCAAGCCGAGGCCGTGCGTCTCAACATCTTGTTGCCGGCACAAACCTGCTCGTGCAGCCCGTAGGCCATAGCAGCAGCGGTGGGCTCTGTCAACAGCCGCAATACTTCCAGGCCGGCGAGCGCAGCGGCATCCTTTGTTGCGTTGCGCTGCGCCTCGGTGAATTCGGCAGGCACAGCCATGACACAGCGGCTGAGGCATCAAGGGAGAGCGCCCGTGCACCATCGGAATGAGAGCTCAGCCTTTGGCACACCTTGAAGTGGCGATCAGGAGAACATACGTGACTTTGGTGGCCAGTAAAGCTTCGGCGCTCTGCTTGAGGCGAGTCAGGATCTGAGCGCCCACTTTTTCTGGTGAGTCGAGGACGTGATGCTGATCGGCGGGAAGTCGAAAACCAAAGGATCCCGATCGATTGAAAATGGTAAAGGGAAAGCGCTCCTTCAATACATGCAGATCAAGACCAAGATGGCGGTGGGCATGAGAAAGAGAGAGAGAGAGAGAGAGAGAGAGAGAGAGAGAGAGAGAGAGAGAGAGAGAGAGAGAGAGAGAGAGAGAGAGAGAGAGAGAGAGAGAGAGAGAGAGAGAGAGAGAGAGAGAGAGAGAGAGAGAGAGCAAGCTCGGGCACGGGCAATGTCAAGGTTGGAATGAACGTCGGTGCTGCCTGATTGGGGGTGCGCTGTCATGACGAACCTCATTGGCATGTTCGACGGAGAATGAACGGCCAATGAAGCGTTTGGCTTCGTACACTGTGTTGGCGGGGTTCAGCGTGGCCTGCGCTTTGGCCTCGCTACCAACAAGCACGGTACCGTTTTTCGCTTCAATGGCTGCCACCGAGGGGATGGTAAGGCGTTTCGAGACAGAGTCTGGCACGACCTCCACCTTTTCATCGGGCGCAGCACGAGCATGAGACTGGATCAGAGGAACAGGCATCGCGCTTTGCAGCATTGGGCACGTAGCATGCATGTTCGCACCTCGCCCGAGCCGGCATGATAGAGGGCGATACAGGAATAGGTTGTACCCAAGTCAATGCCGGCGATCTTGGGTTTGGGCGGCGGCAAATGGGTGGCCACGAGGTAGCTGATCACGACCACCGCAGCCCCCACGATGGGCAAGATGTGAGTCAAACTCATCTCGACAACACCACCACCTCCCCCCCCCCACACACACACGTCACCTTGTCAAAAAGTGCCAACGTGTCCCCACACCCACCCCACCCCACATTCAAGCATCCAACTCCCTCCTGCCCCAAATCGTCCAACAATGACACGCTGGCAACTGGATCCACGTCTCTCGCCTTGGAGGTGCACGCGCACGTTCCCTCTCTCTCTCGCTCTCTCTCTCTTGTAAACTTTCTCACACAACGAAACGAACGAAACGAACATGATGCTGTGCTGACAATTCATCTGTTCATCCATCAAGTCACTGTTATGGACGGGTGGACGGGGGACGGGTGTAACGGTGTAACGGTGGAACGGTGGAACGGTGGAACGGTGGGCTGTGTGTTGGAAGAGATAGTCGCTGGTTTAGCTCGAGGAGAAAGGACCCGAGTGGTTGTTCTGTTGGGCTACGCTTGCTCAAGATGGTGATCCGCATTTGGATTTTTGTATGGTCATGNGGTCTGCACCACGACCCCTGCGCACAAATTGACAGGGATAGGCAAGGACTCAAATGGAGAGAGCGAAAGCACGCCAGAGGAAGCGGATACATAAAGTATGGGAGGGAGAGAGGGAGCAGAAAACAACAACAACAACAACAACAACAACAACAAGAGCATGTTGTCGAAACCCGGGTCTTGGCAAGCACAACATCCCTGGTGCCGTGTCCCGTTGGTTTGGCAAATCCCCAGAGAAGCAGGCACATCCCAATGTCGCAGAGCCAACAACGCTGGCCGCGCGGTTCCTCTCAAACGCGGAACGTTGTTCACTCGTGCATTAAGGCTCTAATTGCGCTTGGCCCGCTTGGCTCGCTGAGGGCGACCATCATCCTCCTCCTCAGCCTCTTTCTTTTCCTCTTCCGGCTTGGCCTCGGCCTCCTGCTCCGTCTCCGTCTCCTTCTCGGCCTTGGTCTCAGCATCCTTGGCGTCTTCACTTTCAGCTTCGTCGGCTACCTTTTCACTGCTCTCTTGGGCCTCGGGGTGGCTGTCAGCCGCAGTGCGCTTACCACTCGTCTTGGTCTCCACCTTCTTGGTTTCTGTCTCTGTCTCGGCCTTACTGTCCTCTGCTTTGGCGTCCACGGAAGCAGTGGCTTGCTTGGAGGCGTCACCCCCAAACTTGAACCCAGAGCTGGCCGCCGGCATGCCACCAAACTTGAAGCCGCCCACCGTGGCCGGGCTTTGCTTGGCGGCATCTCCCCCAAACTTGAAGCCAGAGCTGGCCGCCGGTTTGTTGGTCAATGCACGCGCCGCTGCATCACCGCCAAACGTAAAGCCGGTCTTTGTGTCTACAAGGAAGTAAAACAGACCATGCAGGCGCGCCAGCCACGATGAGAACACGGTGCTCTTACCAGAGCGCAAGCCTTCTCGAAACCGAGGCGTGCTTTGCATTCACGTACCAGCAGCAGGAGCAGTGGTGGCCGCGGCCGTGGCGCCACCCTTGGACGCACCACACGCCGCACATTTGTCATCACCCTTTTTGTTCTCACAGAGACAAGTATCACAGTGCCACACCGAAGCCGCCTGAGCCCAGATGCCGGTTGGCGCCACCTGGGCTGCGGCCGCTGGGGCCTGCGTGCTGGGTGTGGCTGCCGCGGTTGTGGCAGCAGCTGGGGCTGCTGTCTTGGCACCCGCTTTGGCCTCACCACAGGCAGCACACTTGTCATCGGAGTTTTGGTTTTCGCACAAGCATGTCTGGCAATGCCACACGGTCTTGGCCTGGTTCCAGATGGACATCTTGTTCAGTCGGTGATGGTTGCCTGCCCCTCTCGCTCGAAAAAAAAAAAAAAATTAAAAATTTGAACGATTTTTTTCGCAGCACAAATGTGTGTTGAACAGCTGTTTAGAATAAATTTTAAGAGTGTAGTTCTGATCACACTTACTTGGGTTACATTTGCACAAGCTTTCAGAGGTGGGTGGCCGGATGTCGCAATCGCAGAAATGGCAGCGAGTGGTGTGTTGCGAGCAGACCGTTGAGCTTGCTGCCGGGGCTTGGGACACGGGGTCTGGGACGTGACAGCAGGATCCAGATGGATCGGGTCTTGGTGACACGGTTGTACTTTTGATCAAGGCGGGTAGCCAGGACCGCGCCGCCGATCGGTGGCCAAACACAAAAATAAACAGGCGTGAGCCATGTCGGTGCGGCGCATGGGCAACCGCGCTGAAGAAGGGATGTTGTTTGAGGTTTGCGTCGGCGCGCTCAGGTTGTCATTTTCTTCCTGCATCTACGCGCATCACAGGAGCAGACTCGTCAGACTCTCCACACCCAGTCCTGCTCACCTGCCACGATGGCCCTGACAACCAAGGCCGCCATGGTTCCAGCCAATGACAACAAGGCCACGGGATCATTTGTCTTTGTCGCCAATTATGTTCGTCCTCCTTCTGCCTTCGCTCGGGCACACCCGCCAGGATCTTGAGCTCAATGTGGTCTGCGATCTCACTCCTTGCTGTGTCGCACCCCTGCTTCCCATCTGTCGGGTAGAGCACGTTTGACAACCTAGCACATGTACCCAAGGGCACACCCGCCAAGCATTCCCTCTACGTCTACCGCCTCTGCCCGCGTACCGGCCAGCTCACGCTTCTGACAGTTGACAATAGCTTTGATAACCCTGGCTTTCTCCGTTACCATCCTCAAGTGAGTGCCATCCCCAAGTTTTCCGAGCCATCTATGTTCACCCCTCATGCAGTTTGCATCCACACGTGAAACCGGGTATCCCGTTTGCCGCTTGCGTGGCTCTCTCTCTCTCTCTCACTCTCACTCTCTCTCTCTCTCTCATTGTCACCGCCATCCTCGTCGTCGTCGTCGTCTTCTTCTTCTTCTTTTCTTCTTCTTCTTCCTTTTCTTCTTCTGCTTCTCTCTTCCTCTCTGCTTCTGCTTCTCTCTTCCTCTCTGCTTCTGCCAGAAAAATATTCTTTACCTCTGCACCGAGGACATTCTCAAGGAGAACACAATTGGAGCTTACAGCGTCAACCCAGAGACGGGCGCCCTTGCAGAAATTGATCACTGGTCCGCTCACGGCCGCAGCACTTGCTACCTCACGATCGATAAACCTCAGCGACATATGCTTGCCGTCAACTATTGGGATAGCACTGTCGCCGCCTTTCCCATCGACAGCTCCACGGGCAAACTTCGCGATGCCTCGCATATTCATGAGCCGGAGAAGAAGGTGGTCGCCATGTCCCGGCTTGACCACCTACACAACCGCCAGTTGGAGCCGCATGCGCATGCCATCGTTCTGGACCCTTACGAGGGTCATCTCGCGTTTGTACCCGATCTGGGCCTCGACGTCATCAAAATTTTCACGTATGACAATGCCACAGGCTGCCTAAAAACCGCACAGACGGCTGCTCCGGGTCCAGCCGGCTCGACCCATGGTCCACGCTATGTGCACTTTCACCCAGAGCTCAACATCATGTATGTCGTCAATGAGCTCAGCTCTACCGTCTCCGTCTTTGATTACGATCGTGAAGCGGCAGCGCAGCTGGCTGCCAACCCCTCGGCGGACGTGACGATTCTCACGTTTAAGCAGTCCATTCCCACGGTGCCCGAGGCTTTTCCGCGTTCCCTCAACACGTGTGGCCGTATCTGCCTCGACCCATCCGGCCAGTACGTTGTAGTCTCCAATCGAGGCCACAACTCCATCGCGACCTTCAAGGCCGATGCCTCTACCGGCATGCTCAAGCAGCCTGAATTCTTTCACACGCGAGGCCGCACACCCCGCCACTTTCAGTTTGATGCCACCGGTCACTGGCTCGTGGTAGCCAACCAAGACACGGACACCATTACCGTCTTTCGCTTTAACCGAGAAGAGGGTGTTCTCGAGTTTACCGGCCACACCTACGATGTCCCATCGCCCAATTTTGTGTGTGTGCACGCCCCTCATTGAAGGAGTCCGGACTGCTCCGGCCGGCGCGTTGCCGGTTCGCTTGTTTGCCTTTTCCAAGTTCCCTCTTCTTTTAATACTTCCCCTGTTTTCTCTTTTCACAACTTGTGCTTATCTTGTGCATGGTTCTGTTCAGTGGTGTTAAGTGGCCCCAATCAAATGGACTCGTCCCGTTCTTGATAAAAAAAGAAAAAAAGGTGAACTTGTGCCTCATGCAATTGATATGGCTCTCAAGATTGCGAGCCCAATGAGTGACAACATCAGTCGTTTCCACCAAGAATTGCCTCGCTGACTTTTGCTTTCAAGTTTTAAAACAAGCCGTTTAGAATGTCAACGAGTGCCTGACTAGGCCGCACCACACTTTGATCCTCCTGCCGCACGGCGGCGCTCCTCAACCCGACTTGACCTCGCGCTCAATGCTAATTTTCCAAAAACAACGTGCCAACACATCCTGATTGAGAGAAACAGCAAAGAACGATCCCTGTGCCTGCCCACGTGACCCCACCCCCGACCATGATGGAGCAAAACGTACAGCTGCTTGTCCAGACGGTGGCGATTCTTTTGAGCCATCTGGTTGATGATGGAGACGGCAAAGTAACCGATCATGCCAATAACAATGGGGCCCATGATGTACGCTAGCAACGGCAGCTATATGTACACGCCACCGTGTCAGCGAGCATCAAGTCAGACTTGGGACCCAGCAACTAAAAGAGGAGTTGGATTGAGTCGAATATGCGCACATACCCCTTCGTCCTTGTTGGCCCCTGAGTCACCATCGCCCACAAAGCGGGCCTGGGTGGAGCGCTGAATGTCGCGAATGACATCATGCAACCAGACGCCTATGCCAGCATACCAACAGACGCCACGACACGCACATGCTGTAAGCCGACCCACGGCACTTCAACGTGCTTCAATCGATCAAGTAGCACATACCAGCCATGGGCAACTGCTTGATGTGGCCCAGCAAGGCCTCAAAGACGGGTTTGGACATGAAAAAAACCAGCATGGCCATTTGAATGTGCAGCTTGAAGATGGCTTTGCCCAAAAATGTGGCACCAAAAAAGATGTGAAATGGAATCTAGAAGCAATCAAAACGCCGCGTTGATGAAAAGCATGGGTTATGGGTTATGAAGTGATTGCTTGACATCAGGACACAAGAGAAATATTGGAACACGAGCCCAAAGGAGCATGGCTGGCTGGCTGGCGTGGTGCTCACACGCACCATAAAGTGGCCGCAGGTAATACCCGCCAGGTCAAAGAGTGGGTTGGGAATGGCGGCACAGAAGAAGATACCCCAAAAGCCAGCGCGTTGGACAATATCATGCATGAAGCGCTTGGCGCGTGCCAGCAGCGTGTGGCTGTCATCGTGCAAAGATTCGTGAAACTCCTCCAAGTCCTCATCGTCGGGATCCTCCTCACTCAAGCGCGCGGCGCGAGCGACAAAGTAGGGGGGAAGCTCGCCAATGGCAGCGCCGCAGCCCCAGAAAAAGGCCGGAAACTCAACCTAAGTCGGCCAGGCGAAGAATTGGGTGATTACAAACAACAACAACGACGCCGACTGGAACGGAAGCTAAATCACCACGCTTCACAACACACACACAAAACGTGGAACGTAATAAAAAGCAACGTACATTTTGCATAACACGCCATACGGTCATGGGCGGAAAGCCCTCCTCGGGCGGTTCAAGGCACAGCACGTTGGCCCAACTAAAGTTGATTCATTGGTTTGTTTGTTGTTGTTCGCATTCAAGAACCGAGGGTAATGGATGAGCGCGCGACGTGGCCACGGGATTGTCTACCCTGCTGCGGTGTTTGCTGCACACGAAACAGTCGTTGGCCTTACGTGCTTCGCTGGGTTGAGCGCAACTCGGAAGCAAACTCGGTTGAGTTGCAGGTGTAGGCGTGCATGGTGTACTGGGCCATGTATGGACCCTATTGAAGAGCGCGCGCCCGAGCCACCCCACGGGAGGGTGTATAGCAATGAGCATACGATACGTGCCCCAAGACGGACACGGGCGCTGGCAAGCGTCTCCTTCATGCTTGCCACACAACCCATGTCCACAAACTACGGCTGCAGCCCAACAATACCAGGTAAAGGATGAAGGTGTGAAGCCCTGTGCCCAGGCCCACAGAGGAAAGGATGCCCAGAAAGCACCAGAACATGGCCTCATAGACCTTGTCAATGGCGTAGAGTGCCGTCTAAGGCCGGGGTGGCAGCGCAGGATACAACCAAGCCGATACGAGCTCGTCATGAGACAATTTGTTATCAAAAGCAGAGGGCCAAGCGACAAGCCTGTGCATCCTGTGCAATGCTGCGGGCTGGAGCGCTGCGCATGCAACAATTGTCTTGCCTGCCTGCCTGACTGTCTGCCTGCCGTTGAACAGTCCCTTACAGCAAACAAGAGCAAACAAGAGCAGGACGCACCCCGTTGGTAGTAGTTGATACAAAATAGTACAGGCCAATCACGGCCAGAGTGGCCGGGACGGAGACTTGCCAGCGCTCCTTGGCCCTGAAAGTAAAAGCATAACGCACGTCGTGAGCCGCTATCGTGGGCAAGGCGTGGCCCGAAAACTTGTGCAGGAGAAAATCAGACGTACGATTGCAAGGCTTCACCCAAAAGGACCAAGGTTTCACGGGTTGAGTAGTAGATGGTTTGCAAGGGTCTGCGAAACATGGTGATGGCCTTTCGCTGCTCGCGGTAGCGTTGACGAATGGCCTTGACCTTGTCCGACACGGCTGTGCGGTGAAAAACGGAGTCGAAACGCGTCGATGGCAGGTCAAATGAGGCAGAGAAAATGTGCGGTGAAGTGCAGTGAGCGGGGTAGCTGGCAGTCTCACCGTGCTTAGCCATAGCATCGGGACTGGCAGCACTGGTGCCGGGCTGCACCTCAGCACTTAAGGTGCGCCGGTGCGCACCTGCGATGCAAGCAAATCGCGCGACACGGACACAAGCATGCCGGTGAGAAGAACTAACAAAGACAGCAGTGACTGGGGCCTTGGATGGCCAGTGTGATCCTCACAACATGCAGCATACAAGCACCAGCCAGATGACCCACTTTGACCGGCCATTGCAGCCATGATAGGGTTGACTGGCGCCAAAGCCGGGCGCCTCAAGCCGGTGCGGAAGCGTGTGCGTCTTGAGTTGAAGCTGGAGCAATCTTCCTGTTGTTCATTCATCAGCCAAGCCGACGCAAATCAAAGAAGCGTCAAAAGAGCAAAAAAAAAAAAAAAAAGGCACAACAACCCCCGGCAGTCCTTCCATATCCATCCCCCGTCACAGCGCTACCCCATTCCGATCAACACACCTTGAGCCAGTCGCGGTATACTCAGCCTTTGTGCCGCCGCGACACCAGTGCCAAACCCGTCAGAACTGGGAGCAGAACAGGGTCAAATGCTATTTCTCTCTCCCTCTTGCGCTCTCGTTCCCTCGCTCTGTTGTGCAAATGCAGTTCCCACTGTCTCAAGAAGAAGGAGGCTTTCTGTCGCGTTTGCCGCCAAAACATGGCTCGGCAGTAACCGACAAAGTCACTACATTATGTTGAACAAAGTCACAATGGTAAAGCCATATCGTTATGGTATTTTCTTCGTAAACCCTCTATTTAGCTTCAATAACTTTTGCTTGGTTGTCAACACTGACTTTTTGTGTCGTGGCACATCCAGTCTCTCAGTCTCCCATGGGTTTGGGGTGATTCCAAATTTGTCTGACATAACCGGTCTGACTCCAGACTGCTTGCAAAGTCTACATTCTGTATTAATTAAAACATGTTTTTCCAGTTATACCCATACCATTTTGAAAATTCCGGTTCTCAAACCAGTTTTCGCTTTTTTGGGCTGGGCATCTTTTGTTCTCAAAGCCCCTCGTGTATCTCAACGGCTTTTCTCCTTCTCTCTCTCTTGGCGTCCCAGTGGCATTTGCATTCAAAACCTTGAACAGGCAGGTTGCGCTTTGGGCACAAATGGCACCGGGACTTGGGACGACTGATGGCGGCGGTGCATGCCGAGGCTTCCCCTTGCTGCTTCACCCTTTTAAATGCTGCGCTGCTGAAGGCAACCATGGGGTGTCACTCTTCAAGCTGTTTGCCTTGTCGTTTTTTTATCTCTTTTTGAAATTTTCGAACAAAATTTTCTTCTCTCTTTTTTCTTTTTTTTTTTTTTTTTTTTTTTGACTTTACTGACCAATAACGTGTGGTGGCATCTACAGGTTGAGATTTGGCTAACGCTGCAACATGGAGGCTCCTCGTTTCAAGGTTTGTTCACGAGGCGTTGTCTCGTGCACTCTGTTGGTGTCATTGCAGATGGTGATGCTCGTTTTGCTCTGCTGAACCTCACATTACCTTGCCTTTGCGCGGATTGGCAGCTCGTTCTTGTCGGTGACGGTGGTACCGGCAAGACCACCTTTGTGAAGCGCCATCTTACTGGCGAGTTTGAGAAGAAATACGTCGGTACGTTTTTCCTCGGTTTCTTTGCACACCCTCAGAAGGAAAGCTCCATCCTCGAGCCCAACGCGGACTCACCACACTCGTGTCCTTGCTCCGCGTATGTTCTTGTTGAATCTAGCCACGCTCGGTGCGGACGTGCATCCCCTGAGCTTCCAGACCAACTGTGGCCCCATCATCTTTGACGTCTGGGACACGGCTGGCCAGGAGAAGTTTGGTGGCCTCGTAAGTTGCTTTTGACCAACCAAAATTTTGACGCGTTGCTTCGCATGCCTCTCACCGCCTTTGGTGCGCCCGTGCACCTGTGCCTTGTCTACAGCGCGATGGTTACTACATTCATGGCAAGTGCGCCATCATCATGTTTGACGTCACGGCCCGTGTGACGTACAAGAACGTGCCCAACTGGCATCGTGACCTGGTTCGCGTGTGTGAGAACATTCCCATGGTTCTCTGCGGCAACAAGGTTGACATGAAGGACCGCAAGGTCAAGGCCAAGCAGATTACCTTTCATCGCAAGAAAATGCTTCAGTACTACGACATTTCCGCCAAGTCCAACTTCAACTTTGAGAAGCCCTTCCTCTGGCTGGCCCGCCGTCTTTCAGGCCAGCCCAACCTTGAGTTTGTTGCTGCCCCGGCCCTTCGTCCCGCTGAGGTCGAGATTGACCACGCTGCTATGCAGCGCGCTGAGGAGGAGATGCGTATGGCCCAGCAGGCTGAGCTTCCTGATGACGATGATGATGACTTGTAAACGGCCCAGCGCCACGCGCTCCTTGCCGCTTCTCTCTATCTCGCTGTCTTGCTCGTTTCCTCTCTTCTACCCTATTCTTTTCCCTCGCTTGCTTGGCTTTTAGTACGCCGTTCCTACTTTCCCATCCCCCCATGTTGTTTTGTTCCCAGCGGCCGATTGGCTCGTGTTTGTGGGTATTCCAGTCGGCTCATGTGCACGCGGAAAGAAGAAAATTGTCAAAAATTTTGGGATATCTGCCCCGTCACGCGCTGCGCACATGTACCCATGCGGGTTCCCTTTTGCGCCATGTCTATCCCCACGACATCTTGGAGCGCACACATCACATCACACATCAGTTGGTAGAAGGAGTGAATCGGTACAAGTTCCCAAAAAAAAATCAAGACTTTTGATGCAATTGGCATGACTGGCAAGCAAAGCCATGTTGGTGGGCTCTGGGATAACGCGACACGCCACCAACAAACAGGCATGCAGCCAGGACAGGAATAAACGCATCGAGTCTTTTGAATCTCGTCAACGAGCACGCTGTGCTGCACAAGACAGAGAAAAGTGTTGTAGAGCGTGAAACCAAGAAGTGTGCGGAAAGACCCCATGTCAGGAAACCAAAGGGGGAAGAAGGGTAGACAACAAGAACAAAAACAAAGAAAGCGTTGGAACTTGGAAGGTGGGGAAAAGGGACGCCGCTCAGTACAGTCCAAAGACCACAAGAAAAAAGGAACGAGCCATACCAACACAAGCACATACAAGGGTTGTGACGTTTAGCAACGCCAACAGTGAAAAGAGGGCAGGACGTAGCGGCCTTGGCAGACTACAGCCTTTACTTGTTCGACGTCTTGAGAGATTCCTCCTTGTATTGGAACTCGTCGACGTTGAGGAGCAGCTGGTTGCTGTCCAGGTAGACGCGGTTGGTGGAGTTGGCGACGGTGGCGGCAATTTCGCGTGCAGCGTCGATACGACGCAGCTGCAAGAAGCCGGGGTTTTGGCGGATGGCCTCACCAATCAGCTTGGCCGACTGCGCCTCACCCTCGGCCTCGACGATCTTTTGCTGACGCTCCTGCTTGGCACGCTCGACGAGCATGGCGGCGCGCTGGGCCTCCTGTTGTGCAACCTGCTTGGCCTCGACAGCGCGGCTGTACTCGACACCAAAGCTCAAATCGGTGATGGAGACATCTTCAAGCACGAGCCAGAACTCGCGTGCACGATCCTTAAGGTTTTCACGAATAAGACGACTGACGCGCTCACGCTGGGTGATCAGCTGGGAAGCGTTGAAGCGGGCAATTTCTGACTTCAGCACCTGCGCTCACGCCAACAGATATGGCCACGTGACGAAAATAAATTTGGGAGGAGGACGTCAAACGAAAAGATTGAGTTTCGCGTGAGTACAACAGTCGGCTGCAGCAAAAGAAAGCGTTGGGTTGCGGGGGCCGGATATTCAGCCTGGTTGTTGAAGACTCGCGCGAAACGCATGATAGGTGGCAAGGCACAAACCTCGTTGATGATGGAGGGGAGAACACGATCGTCGTAGTCAATGCCGAGGTTACGGAAGAGGGAGGGAAGCTCGTTGGTCTCTGGGCGTGAGAGGACACGAAGACTGACGTTGACCATCTGCAAATCTGTCCCAATCCCAATATCATCCATTGTCAAGTGAGTGGCTTGAGGAGCACGGCAGGACACTTGAGTTTGGGTACTAGCAAAGCGCAAACTGACCCTTGGTACCAGTGAGCGAGGTGATGCGGTGGGCCTTGGCACGGATATCATAGATGACGGGCTTGTGAACCCAGGGGACGCTAAGGACAAGAAAGGTTGAAGGGGGACAGGGCTGGGTAAGCTGGAGGAAAAACAAGGGGGGGGGAGGGGGGAAAAAATTGGTGGGACTTGACGCCAATGAGCCATGAGCGGCTCAACAGATATAGAACGCACCGAAAGTGAAGACCTTCACTCAGCACCTCGTTCTTGACACCAGCGAAGCGGCTGAACATGATGGCGCGATGACCAGCGGGCACTGTACAGAGCGTCATCCCATTCAGTGAGAAGTCATTTGATGGTGCGCCATACATGGGATTGACAGGGTGGGACCGTGGTGTGATCCCATGAGTTTAGACCATGCTGAGCGTACCAGTGAACACAGATTCGTTGGCACCGTAGGCGAGACCGCCAGCCACGGCGAGGCCACCGATCAGGCCAGTGGGCACACGGTTCATGCCAGCACGAAAGGCTGCCATGGCGTCGGTTGCTGTCGAATAGATGCGGTGGAAGAGCAAGGATGAGATACAGCGAGCAACGTCAGCCAATGAATTAGAACACAAAGAGGTGGCCGAAACCAAGGAGGAGAAGAACAACTGCATGGAAGGTGAGCAAGCGCTGAGCACCGAACCTGATAAAGTGACACAAGAAAAGAAGACGGCAGCGAGTCAAGGAGGTGGGTCTGGCACCTGCAAACACAAGCGCGAGCAACACAAGGTCTTGGTGAGGCACAACCCATGAACGCAGTGCCACAAGTTGACTGAGCTGGCGTGTTTGCCGAGAAACACAGCAGCGAGCGGGAAACGCGAAAAATAAAAGCGTGCGTCAACACCCCAAGGCTTTTGAACAAAGACTGGCCAGGGGACAACCAGAGATAGGCAGGCGCAAGGAGCAGGATCGAGTCTGAAGAAAAATACGCCGCACACGCCTTGCCAGACAGCCTCGAGCAGACTCAGACAAGAGAAGAGAGAGCAGACACCAGGAGGAGGCATGGGCGGTGGCGCAACTGGTTGCACGAGTGCAAGGCGAGTGCAAGACGACGAGCGCAGGCAGACGGGCACGAGACCCAAGAAGCACGCAGCCAACACCCCAAACTGATCACGACCGCAGCTCTAAACCAATCCCCAACCCCACTAAACCCGTCCCACTGATACTTGTATCCGCCTGCATTTGGCATCGGGCTGCCATTTGCCGAGCTTGGCGAGTTGAGTCGAGGTCGAGTTGAGTACCAACCTGCACTGAACGAGTAAAAGGCGCCGAGCGACTGACTGGTGCTTCTCCTCTCTCTCTCTCTCTCTTTTATATCTTTTTGTCGTTCGTTTCTCTCACTCTCTCTCTGTGACTGATCTTTTGTTCTCTCTCTCTTCTCTTCTGTTCTTCTTCTTTTCTTCTCTCTTCTCTCTTCGTCTCTCTTCTCTGTTCGTCTCTCTCTTCTGTTCTTCTCTCTCTTCTCTCAAGCAAGACGGCTGCAACACAACGTGGTCCGCTGTGTCAGCGGCTCAGTGGCCAGGGTGCTACCAGATGAACGTCAAACTATCATATGGTTGGTCTTTCCTGCAGGTTGCACGGTACACACGCGGTTTTGCTCAAAGTGTGATATTGGTCACGCTGAGCGCAATCATGCTGCTGTTATGAGGAGACTGGTTTGATGCTGTTAGACTTTTCTCTGCGAAGGCAGTGACCATGTCTATTTGAATCAGAGTCGTTTTTGTACTATCATTACAAGGCCAAATTTACCGCTAGAACAATTGAAAAACGTCGTCGGCCTGGACACCAAGCAACAGCCCGTTGTCGCTCCCTCTTCGCTCTCCCTCTTGTGCTCTCTGCTCTAAAGGTTGTTGTGACCAAACACCTTCACAACGAACTTTCCAAATCATCTTTTGTTCTCTTTCTGTCTCTCTCTCTCTCTCTCTCTCTCTCTCTCTCTCTCTCTCTCTCAACTCAAACTCTCAAACTCTCTCTCAAACTCTCTCTCTCTCTCTCTCTCGTCTCGGTCGACTGGACTGGGAACCGGCGGCACTTAGACGAATTTTTTTTCTGATAGCACAACCTGCCATCATGAACCCTCAAACCCCCGTTTACGTGATTAGTACGTTGGTCCCTGACTCGCCTGCGTATCCGGCTCCGAAAGCTCTTGGCTGCTTCCGCGGGAAAACCGCTCCACCCAGCGCGATGCTACCACGTGTAGTCGACCAGCCTCGCTGCCCTCGTCGCTATGCACACGCGCACTCGTTTGATGGAAAAAAAAAAACACACCTTTGCCGCTGCATCTGCTCCTGCTGCTCGTCGTCTTACGCCCGTCGTTCCTCCGTGACTGCAATGTCTTGTCTTGGGCGAAAACTGAACAGACCAGCAGGCAGCCAAGACTGAGGATGCCCGGAAGGTCCAGCTGCAAAACATCCAGGCCGGCAAGGTGAGCGAGCACTGGTCCCCAATTTTCCCAGGCCCAGATTGGCCCGACGACCCAAATCAGGGCAAAGCTGCTCGGCCATATCCATGCGACAATGCCAGGCTGCAGAACACGGGTAGCACTTGGTCATGCTTTCGGGTAGCCCAGTCACCCTGCACCTGGTCACAGCTTTTTCTTCTTCTTGTTTGACGTCCCGTGCATCCGTCCGGGGCAACGTCAAACATCGCGTTGACCGTTGAGCTCGAGTCTTTGACACGGACCATCCGTGGCAACACATGGTCCTCCGTCCCTCATTTCCCCGTAAACATCTTTTTCTTGCTCCCCATAGACCGTGGCTGATGTCATCCGCACCTGCCTTGGCCCCCGCGCCATGCTCAAGGTACGGCTCTTGCCGATTGAGCTGCACCTTTTTTTTTTTTGCTTCTTCTTCTTCTTCTTTCAAATTGTGTTTGTGGGTTTTCTCCCTTATACCCTCAACACCCTGCACCGTGACCGTGATCATGATGAATGTTAGATGCTGATGGATCCTATGGGTGGCATCGTGCTGACCAGCGATGGCAACGCCATTCTTCGTGAGGTGGGTCAAAAACAGCTCACCAACTACTGCCCCACCTGCTTTGGAGATGGACGCTGGGTGCTTCCAAGCCGGGCTATCCTTGACGGGCTCGGTTTTCGTGCCCTTTCAATAGTTGATGGTGCAACACCCTGCTGCCAAGAGCATGATTGAGATTGCTCGCGCGCAAGACGAGCAGGTTGGCGACGGCACCACCTCCGTCATCATCCTGGGTATGTCCAACAAGCCTTTTTCGTCTCCCCGACTCAACCTCTCGGAATTGTCTATTGTTGTTTTGTTTCTTGTGCGCTTGTGATGTTGTAAGCTACACTGCTGTCGCATTGATGGCGATGGTTATCCTAACACGCTTCCCAGCGCTTTCGAGGCCGGAAGAGGTGCAAGGTTATCAGGCCAACCTCATTTTTCCTTTGTGTCTATCTCAACTTTGCAGCTGGCGAGGTGTTGGGTGTGGCAGCACAGTTTATGGAGGAACAGATGCATCCCGTGACGGTCATTGGCGCCTACCTCAAGGCTCTTGATGATGCCCTTGTCATCATGGATAAGGAGCTTACGGTCCCCATTGACGTTGAGAACCGCGATGTCATGATTGATACCATCAAGGCAGTCGTGGGCACCAAGCTGATCAAGAAGTGGTGCGTCCGTGACAGCTGTCCTTGCCAAATTTATCTTGTTTCAATATTTGGCGCCGTCTGCCGTCAATGCTGGGTCTCCGTGCTTGTCAAGGCCTTCTCCCTATAGTGCTCGTTTTGTGTTTTGTGTTGTTTTGGCTGAATCTTGATTGTATCTCATTCTTCTCTCTCCCCTCATCTCTCACCGCGCCCTCGCTTTGATGGCATGCCCCCTCTTTAGGTCGCAGATGGCCTGCGAGATTGCGCTGGACGCTGTGCGTACGGTGCAGTTGACGGACGACAAGGGGCACAAGGAGATTGACATCAAGAAGTATGCCAAGGTCGAGAAGATTCCCGGTGGCGAGCTCGAGGACTCACGGGTGCTGCGTGGCGTCATGTTCAACAAGGACGTGACGCACTCCAAGATGCGTCGTCGCATCGAACGCCCGCGCATTTTGCTTTTGGATTGCGGCCTTGAGTACAGCAAGGGCGAGAGCAAGACGGACGCCGAACTCAACAAGACAGAAGACTTTACCCGCATGTTGCAGCTTGAGGAGGAATACATCAAGCGCATCTGTGACGACATTATCAAGCACAAGCCTGACCTGGTCATTACGGAAAAGGGCATTTCTGACTTGGCCCAGCACTACCTCGTCCGCAACGACATCACGGCCATTCGCCGTGTCCGCAAGACGGACAACAACCGCATTGCTCGCGCCTGCGGTGGTACCATCTGCACGCGAACGGATGAGATCCTTGAGAGCGATATTGGCGTTGGTGCTGGCCTCTTTGAGGTTCGCAAAGTGGGTGACGAGTATTTCACCTTTATCGAGGAATGCGACGAGCCCAAGGCGTGTACGATCCTGCTGCGTGGTGCCAGCAAGGACGTGCTCATGGAGGTGGAACGCAACCTGCAAGATGCCCTCGCCGCCACCCGCAACATCTTCATGGACCCTCGTCTGGTCCCGGGTGGTGGTGCTACTGAGATGGAGCTGGCCGTTCGCCTCTCGGAAAAGGCCAAGAGCGTCGAGGGCGTGCAGCAATGGCCCTACAAGGCCGTTGCTCAGGCCTTGGAGGTCATTCCTCGTACCTTGATTCAAAACTGCGGTGGCAACACGATCCGCACCCTCACGGCCCTGCGTGCAAAGCATGCTGAGGCTGGTAACGCCCACTGGGGTGTTGATGGCAACACGGTCCGTCATTTATTGTCGTTGTAGTCTTCGTTGTTGTTGTTGTTGTTGATTTCCCTCCACGCGAATGGTTGCCTTTCCTTCTCGCACCTGACTTTTTTGCCCCATCCGCGCGCTTGCATAATCTCGACGCACCCATGCTCACGATCTTGGCGCTGTGGTGGGGTTTCACAGGGCGAATTGTGCGATATGAACACGATTGGTATCTTCGAGTCCTTCCAGGTCAAGTCGCAGAGCCTGAAGACGGCCGTCGAAACGGCCGTCATGCTTTTGCGTATTGACAAGGTGGTCAGCGGCGTCAAGCGTATGCAGAAGGAGGGTGGCTCGGCTCCCCAGCCTCAAGGCGATGCTGACGCACCGGCCTCCATGGGTCCCGTCTAAACACATCTGCCCCCACTCGCGGCAGGCCTACGCGCTGTTGAACCCTGTCTAGACCTGTCTTCCTCCTTGCACCTTGTTGAAAATGAAGAAGCCAACGCACTTGGCAAAGAATTGGAAAAACAAAAAATGCACCCTCGACTCGTCGCTTCTTGTTGACCCTTTTCAACTGAGTTTAGAAGGGCATGCAGCCCAGGCAAGGCGCAGCCAAAATCTCCTCGACCCTTCCCCAAACCCAAGCAGAAAGGCATTTGCACTTGCTTCCTTGAACCCAAATGTAGTTGAAATTGGAGAGTGAGTTTATAAAAACGGCTCACTCAATCGCACACACACACACACATAAAGGAATGCTACGCCCCCTTCAGCTTTTCTCTTTCTCGTGTTTCTCGTGCACAGGACCGACCCGACTGTGACTGCGACTGGGGTGAGAGGTGAGTTGGTATCGGTGTCGACGCGGCAGTTGGACGGTGCGAGCTCAGGTTGGAAGGGGAGGGGAAGTGCATTGGAAGGAGGGAGTGGGGTGCAACAGTTCGTTGCAAAGCATACCCGTTATCGACGGTGTGGGATGGGATTCCTTTTTTCTTTTTTTTCTCCCAACGGCCCCGCCCCCCATCCTTCTCATCCTCCGCGTGTTGATCACCCCGCCCAAAGCAATTCGATGATAGATTCGGTGGCACAAACAGATTCAACTCGATCCAAGATACCCCTGCGCCTTTGCCTTGACTATACCTCCGTGCTTCACCGCCAGAGGCGTGTCTCTTTGGTTTTGTGGGCAAACAGCGTCAAACGAGACTGAAGCACACACTACTCCATACCGATACCGACGCTCGTGGGACGTTGCCCGTTGAGCCGGCCCTTGTTCTGGCCCCGCTGCTGGTTTCCAAGCACCATGTCGATGCCTACTGGTTGACGAGTGTTTCCCTGCCATCCCGCCGGTTTTCTTCTTGATACCGGTCGCCATGGCTCCCTCTTCCGCCCGCCAAAGGGGCGGGGAGTCCCGGATGCCCCTGGTGCTACTCTTGTGGGCCATCATCGGTTTTGGCCTCTGTCCTCTGACTAACAGCCAGTCTAGCTCTACAACGGTCACGCAGACCACGCCATCCGTCGCTCAGTCCACTGTCGCACCACGCACCCCAAAGCCCTCTCCGCTTTTGCCTACTGTCACTACGACTCAGGGCAATGCCAGTCTCTTGCCCGCTTTTGCCGGGGACGACCCAAGCTTTTGGGAGGAGTATCGCTGGTATCTCATCGCCGCTGCTGCCGGACTTGTTGTCTTTGTTGTCGCCGCCTTTCTCCTCCGCCGCCTCTGCTGCCGTGGTCGCTGCTGTCGCCGTAGCCACAAGCGCACAACGCTCAAGGGCTTTGACACGTCCCCTGATGCGGCCGCCGTCATTGAAATGACTGAAACCCGCAACCTCCGTGCCACCCCACCACCTGCTACCGAGCCACCCAAGCCTACTATTCTTCACACCAATCTCGATATGGCTGTCCCAAACACCGCACCCGCCCCTCCCGTACCGAGCACACCCAGCACAACCGCGACGGGCTTGATCGATCCATATGCCCCCGCCCATCTTCATGGCTACCGCCGACCCCACGCCTCCCTTGAGGAACTTCAGGTAGACTGTATGAAAGCCGACGCCGTTCCCATTCTTCCCCTCGAGACCCTCAAGGTTTGAAGTTCGCCATGCGCTACCCACCTTCTCTTCACTGCGTTGCGCAGGCTCTCAGTCTGGACTCTAGGCTGCTTTTGATGCCTCATGTTGGTACATTTGTGCCTTTGGCCCGTGCTTTGTACACCCGGCAGGTTCTCGAAACGCTTGATGTGGGCCAATTTGGAGAGACAAAGCGAGCCCTGTTTTCGCAATATGCCCATCAAGCTTCCCCCAAAGCCGTCATGGTCACGCTGCCCGCTCACAACAACAGCCGCCATGGCCGGCGCAAAGAGGATACGCGACTCAAACTCCTTCAAGACGCGTGGATACGCAGCCAGTTTCGCCATCCCAAGATCATTGGGCTCATAGGCCTGGTCCTAGATGAAGGAGCTGGTCCCGTTCCTTGGCTCGTCCGAGAGCATGCCTCAGCGGGCAAACTCGACAAGTATTTGCGTAAACATGCCCCAAGCCCCGACGTGTTGGTACGGCTTTTATTCAAGTCCCCCTGCGAGGGAATGCTTTCTGCCCATGCTCTACCCCAATCGGAAGCCATCCAAAGGCAGAGCACAAAAAGACGCCCGTGCTCACACCCCCTGCTACTCGCTTCCGCCCTGGCAGCTGGGATTCTGTCGCGATATTGCCGAGGGTGTCAATTACCTGGCCTGCTGCGACTTTGTCCTTGGTGTAAGTGCTGGTGCCAAATCCTCAAGCTGCAAAACTGATGTCAATGCCAGGCGTGATCTCAATGTCCTCATCTGTGTTCATCGTGTCTTTTTTTGGGTCCATGCCCCTTCCGCTCCGTTGACTCTCTTAGGATTTGACCGCCCAAGCGATCGTTGTGGACAAACATGGCATCTGCAAGGTTGCCGAGCTCGGCTTGGCACGTGATGTAGCCGATGCAACCAACTCTGCCACCAACGTCCGCATTCGCTGGGGTGCTCTGGAAGCCCTCCCCGACCCCGCAACGATTGCTACCTTGACCTGGCGTCGCTCGGGGGATTCTGGTGTCGAGATGACGGCGGAAATCTTGGCACAAATGGCCTCGATGGGACACACTCCGGGTCGTTTCAGTCGCCATAGCGATGCCTGGGCCTTGGGTATCGTCTTGTGGGAGGTCTGGAGTCACGGCCAGCTTCCCTATCCCGACCTTACCGATCACAAGGTCTGCAACGCGCCTTGATACCATCTGCAACGTGCCTGGCCGCACCACATCCCATGACGCTCTGCTCACGCGCACCCTCTTGCCAACCATCGCGTGTGAGCTGCTCAGGTGGCCTTGGCCGTTCATGCCGGTTACCGCCTGCCGGCACCAGCACCCTGCCCTCTGGCCGTCTACCGCCTCATGCACGCATGCTGGCAACCTGATGTAGCAGTCCGTTGCTCGGCTGCAGACGTGCTTCAAGGCTTGCAGAGCGTGGACCTTGCACAGACGGCCGCTGTGCGCGCCCTTCGCCCAGAGTTTCGTGCCTTGAAGGTACGGCGCTACTCTGCTTTCTCACAAACTCGGCATGCGACCTTGCACACCTCCCGTCTGCTCACGAGTGCCCTCCTCGCCGCTCATCTACAACACTCTCGCAGACACAGCATGTGACGGACCCAGAGGCTCTGACTACGCTTTTGCAATCCGGACCCATGGATCCGGCACAGCTGCCCGTGGCGGGCGCCGTCTCTGGCTCGCGCAATGTTTCAGTCTCCAATCAGTCCGACTCGGCTGTAGATTCTACAGGACTGGACCACCCTGCCAATCCAGAAACAACCCGCACCGAACTGAGTAAGAGCGCCCCACGTCGCCTAGCCCCGACCAGTTCGGGCTCAGCGGCGCTAGGCAATGCTGCCCGACGCAACATGACCCGCCCAGCCTTTACCGGCATATTTCACCAAGGCCAACTGGCAACTCAAAACGTGGGTCGCCCTTCAGCTTTGGCGCGCAGTCTTCATCACCTGCCCATTGCGCGCGAAGCCGATGACCCGTACATTGATGTGGTGCCCGTCGATTCTTTGGGGCTAGCAAAGACCTTTCCTCGTCTACGCGCTCCTGTCACGGGGGCTGGAGCTGCTGGCAGTCAACCCGAGACAGATGAGGATGTCAATGCATACATTCAACAGCTTGACGTCCGCCTTGCCTTGGAGGCGCTGCGCGACAACAGCCCTTCCTACGCGTCGATGCAAGCCCACAGGAACGAGCAGGGCACGGCCACCAATGCTACCCGAACCGTGACCACAGACTTTGACCCCACCGTGAGGGAGGAAGATCCATTTCAGGGCTTGAGTCCAGATGACTTTGAGGTGCAGCGCCGGCCTACATCGGCATCGTGGCCTCATCACGGCAAACCAAATGAAACGATTGGTTTGGATGGCGATGGCACGCCGTCTGTTGAGCCCCACCAAGTTGCGGATCAAAATCCCAAACCCACGGCCATGGCTCTGGCATTGAAGGGTGCACATGGTGACTCAGTTAAACCCCCCGCCCCCGTGAGCCCGAGCGATACGCTACCTGAGATTACCGTGCAGTCTCTGCGGCCAATGTCGGGCACCTGGTCACACCGCAGCCCGCATTCGGCGCGCAGCAACAGTCTTTTGCGCTTACAGCAAGCCCCAATGGACAATGTGGTGGCTGCTTGGCACGAAGCACCCGTTGTGTTGTCACCCGGTGCTCGGCGCCGCTCAGCGTCGACCGAAGAGGCCCTGCGCGATGCTCCGCCCGTCGACGCCTTCTCCGCTGCCCCAGAACTAGACACCCAGCCTTTGCCCGCACCACGATTGGAGGACAGTGAAACAGATCCCGTGGCCAGCAACCCTGCCACCACCGCTGCTGACCCTGCTCTGACGGTCATCGCCATGCCTGTGCGGACAAGCTCACCACTGTTCACGCGCAAACATGCAGCAGTGGCTGCTGAAGTTGATGCCTCGCCGATTGCGGCTACCCTAGAACGGCGTCGCTTCTGGCAGCTCAGCAAGTCGCGCGTGCAGACAATTGCCGACTCCTCCGCAGCCTCACCTTCCCCCGCGTCCGGCGCCTCCTCACGCAATTCCACCCTGCGTCGAGTCATGTCACAACGCAACTCATTAGTATCGGAACAGGAACTACAAGAGCTGGAGCTGGCCGCCCCGGGTACTGAGGTTCAAGCCTTTCACGCACGCCAACGCCGCCTTGTGACCAAGCAAACGAGCGTTGATTCCGAAGATCGGCTTATCTTGCCCAGCGATATCAACCGAGCTCGTCTAACCGATGGAGGGGTGTTTGTGCCCAGCCCTGAGCGCCTTCATTCAACCTCATCACGCTCACGCGGCAGCAAGCCGGACATCAACCCTCCTCCACCTGGCTTTGTGCCCGAGCCTTAGCACGGACACCCGATGCGTTTTGGGTTTTTTTTGCTTCTTTGTCAGGCTCCAGGGCAGTGCGTGGAAGCACGGATTTGACCAATATTCCTTGTAAAAACAGATAATTTTTGGTAGTTTTTTTTTCTTTAACCGACAAATCTCTAAATCCGACCCCCTTAGAAAATGATGATAATTGACAATTGATGCCACTGCTCCTCGTTTAATAAACAGCTGGGCGCAGATTCGGTTATGTGAAGCGGGGCATAGAATCTATTGTGTATGATGAGTCATAGAGCGTTAGCGTCAAATCCGTGCTTTTCACGCATTGGTGCTTGACACGGGGCATTTGTTGCCAATTGATACAAAAAAAATGGTTGTACAAAAACTGTCGGTATATTGCATCCAACAGACGATGGTTGGATGGCGCCCAGCGTTTTTGATAATAGTTGAACTCCAGCCCATTTGGAAAAATATAGAACTGCGCAGCTCTGCTGAATCTATGAGATGTCCATTTGTGCGAGTAGCCGCCCTATATCGAGTGTCAGTATCGGTTCCTTTCTGTTAAAGGGTGTACAACTTGCGCAAACTCGACACACGACGTTTCTGGTCTATCAGGCACTGCAGTGCAGAAAGGCCTGGGTGACCAGCTTTTCAAAGGTGCTCGAATAGGTAGGGAGAGAAAGATCGGTCGACAAGAGGGTTTTCATGCAATGGTGGCGGCCGCAATCAGTAAGCTCCAATTCGTGTTAATGAAAATCAGACTTGCGCCAAATCCGTGCAAAAGGAGCCTGCCAGCTTGGTGCCCTCCTCCTTGTGAAGTTCAGCATGGTGCGGCAGCTTTGCGCCAACTTACATTGCGCGGCGAAAGGCGCCATTTGTAGCTTTACAGAACGCGATTGCCTCCTTTGGCTCACCGACGCTCAGGATGTGGAAATGGGGCGCGTGCTCGAACAGGTCAAGTTGATAGAGACTTCCAATGCTCGGACTTGTGATGTGTTCACGTCAAGTCAGTTCTCACGCGCCGTGGAGCGTGAGATGACATATAGGTGTTGAATTTGCAAGAAATGTAGCCTCACAAACAGAGACGGGCAGAGACCCCCTGCAGCCTTTCCCATTTGCGTAAACCTCCGGTTCTGTCGTGCGTAGCACTATCCCATGTGCCTCAGAAACCAAATCCATTCAGTACGATGTTGGCCAAAGCACACAGATAGAATCGATTTCGTGAAACGATTTCAACCTTTTCTCAAGATGTCATGACAAGCACCGAAAAAGGGCAGCAACTGCCCGCCTCCCCACTCGACGTCCGGCTCACTGCGAAGCAGCACAGGATACACTACTCCGCAACCTTTCAAAAGGGGTAGAATTTGCTTGAGCGTGATCGTGTGGTGAATTTGCTTGCGTGAGCATTTGCTTGTGACATTTTGCTTGTGACATTTGTGAATTTGCTTGTAACATTTGTGAGTTTGCTTTTGATTTCACGAGCATTTGGATAGCAGCTTCACATCATATTATGTCAATCGATGTTCTTTGGGTGGCATTTTCCCTGCCTTCCCGAAAAGCTCTCATCAGAGATCTGCTTCTCTACGCGAACGGTTCCCGTGACAGCTGCAGACCTCGGCCTTTCGACCACCGCCCTTCCACGACCACCATCACCTTCCACCGCCCTTCCGCGTTACACCACGCTTTCTCTGACATTATGTCTGTTATGTCTGCCAACAACAGCGCCAAGCGGCCCATGGGCCATGCCGATGGAGTGGAAGGCCCTGCAAAGCGCATTACTCGAGCAGCCACCACCGCATCGCCAGCCGCGGCCTCAGCCTCAGCTCCGGAAGACCTGCTCAACAAGGGCAAGATCATCGCGATGTACAACCATAAGGGTGGTGTTGGGAAGACCTCCATGACCGCGAGCCTGGGATGGGCGCTGGCCGACAGCGGAAAGAAGGTTCTCCTTGTGGACGCCGATCCGCAGTGCAACTTGACCGGCTTTCTGGTTGACCCGGGCTTTGAGTTTCTCCTCGAGCATTACGATGGAGATGAACGGATCGATGATCCCATGCATGCCTTTTACCACCAGGAGAGCACGCGCCGATGCAATTTAGCTGCTGCTTGCTCCCCACTTCTTGGGAGCGCGCAACAGCAACAACACTTTGGCTTGAATGAGCGCGTCCAGACGCAGCTCTGCACGGATGTGTTTCAAGTCTGCAAGCGCAATCAGTTTGTGCAAAATGAAGAATGGCGAACTAAGCTGCCTGACGTTCCGGAGAAGCTCTTTCTGCTCGGTGGGCATCCGGACACGCACAACTTTGAGCTGAAGATTTCCACTGCCATTGGCAGCCGCGAGGCGGTTTCTGCGGCCGACAACATTGTTGGGTGCTTTGCTGGCCTGCTGCGCCAGATCCAGCGTGCCCAGGGAGAAGAACCATTCGATTTCATCATCCTTGATCTGAGCCCGAGCCGATCGATCGTCAACGAGCTGTTGGTTACCCTTGCCAATTACTTGATTGTGCCGTGCAGCCCGGACTTCTACAGCAACCTGGCCATTGCGCATCTGGGCGAATTCTTGCCCAGGTGGTGCCAATCGAGCATTGCGCGGGCAAGCCGAGATGATGCGCACCAAGATTTCAAATTGCCACCGCGCATGCCAATCGTGCTCGGTCTGACATTCAGCATGTACCGCCTCGCTGCTAGCTCAAAGAAGACCCCGGAAACTGCTGACTTTAGGCCCGTGAAGGCCGCTTGGAAGTGGTTTCAACATGTGCAAAGCAACTTCACCATCAAGGTAGCCCCAAAGCTTGAGAAGTACTGCCTCGTCTCCGGGCTTGTGTCCAGGGGTGAGGAGGACAACGTGGAATTGGCTTCCGTACCCTTCCTCAACTCTGCTGCCAACCTGGCCAACTTGATTCACGTTCCCGGCTATGCTTTGACTGGTGCACACGCCTCAATGGCCGGTGCCGCTCAGACAGTGATATCAACTCGTGCGATGGCGGCAGCTCGACGCGCCATTGAACGCCTGAAGTGCCGTCTTCTAGCCTCAAATGTGGTAGCGGATGAAGATGACATCCGCGATCGCCAGAATGACCTGATTACGATGATGCAGAAGTATCCTGATGAGACTGTGAAGGAGTACATTAGGAAGTCACCGGGAGATCGGAAGAAATTCATCTGCGTTCTCGAGGAGATCCGGAAGACGGCAGGGAACTGATACATTGTCTCTTGCGCAGCAGCACCTTTTCCCTACTCTCCCTTGCGAGTTCTTCTACTTACCCTTGCATTGTCCCTGCACCACCGGCCACACAACCAATATTGCTTCTCTTGAGAGCCGTCCCCACTTTGCCCTCGCACGTCTTGATACCTGCCCCCCTCCCCAATGGTTGTTGACGTGAATCCCTGCAACAGACCCGGTCAACGTCCTTCCCGTCCGTCATCTCCAAGAGCATTTCTGGCGTCGGAGCTTCCCCAGCCTGGACGATATAGGTGTTGAATTTGCAAGAAACGTAGCCTCACAAACAGAGACGGGCAGAGACCCCCTGCAGCCTTTCCCATTTGCGTAAACCTCCGGTTCTGTCATGCGTAGCACTATCCCATGTGCCTCAGAAACCAAATCCATTCAGTACGATGTTGGCCAAAGCACACAGATAGAATCGATTTCGTGAAACAATTTCAACCTTTTCTCAAGATGTCATGACAAGCACCGAAAAAGGGCAGCAACGGCCCGCCTCCCCACTCGATGACTGTACATCCAATCAAAATCAATACTTTTCTTTTTTTCACGCAGGACAGCTCCAGTGTCAGGCATCACGGCGTTGGAGAACGGACTTGATCCTAGCATGCGGTTTGCGCCGAGCTGATGCTGAGCTTTGAAAGCTCAAAGGGCGCATTTACTGCTTGTGGTAAGTGCGGTGGCTCTTGAAAAAGTTGATCAGCCCGTTGGTTGAGCTATCGTGCGAGGTCACCTCCGCATCACCTTCCAATTCGGGCTGAATCACCTTGGCAAGTTGCTTGCCCAGTTCCACGCTGCATAGACGACAACAGGCAAGAAGCAGATGCGGTGAGGGCTGGGGTAGTGGCAGTGACAGTGCGTTCGGCTCGATTGGGCCAAGCGCCTAAATAGCAGCCCAAGCAAAACTCACCCCCATTGGTCGTACGAGTTGATATTCCAGATCCAGCCTTGAACAAAGATCTTGTGCTCGTACATCGCTATCAGACAAGTGGCGGAGATTGATGTGAATCACAACGATTGGGACTGACTGCACCCCTTGCTCCCATTAATTGGGAGTATGGCAAGGCGGTCTGGATGCGGGCGACCATGCTCACCAATAAGAGAGCCCAAGGTACGAGGTGTTAGCTTCTGGAACAAAATGCTGGTGCTGGGGCGGTTGCCCTTAAAGACCTTGTGTGGCAAAATCTATGCGAGCAGCCGTTGCCATGCGCACGAGTCAATAGGAGCAAGTGTTCGCTTTGCTCTCAAGCCATAAAATGCCCGCATGCTCGTGCCTACCTTGGGAATCTTGGCCGCAGGCATGCCCGAGGACTGAAGCTCCTGCTCTGCTTCTGCCGAGGACTGTCAAAGCAGGCACTAGTTACTGTAATACAACGATGGCATGCCATTTCTGACAGCGCTTGAAATTTCAGTTTGCTGTGAGCACCGGAAAGACACACACACACCTTGCCCTTGAGAAGAGCCTCAGTTTGAGCCAGGAAGTTGCTGACCAAGATCTACAGAAGAAGACATGCGGTAGGATGGTGTTCTTAAGATGGACAGCAGCGCAAAAGCAGACCTGACAAATTAGACAATGGCCGCGAAGCTCGAATTCAAGTCCATTGACGCACCGTGTGATGCTTGCCACTCGAGATGGGGTTTTGCGTGTCCACAGGGGCGATGAAGTCGCAAGGCACAAGCTTGGTGCCTTGGTGGATGAGCTACAACCCGTATAACGTCAGACTTGCCGCAGCCTCACAGGCGGGACCAATCCATGCGAGGCGCAGTGTCACCTGGTAAAAGGCATGTTGGCCATTGGTGCCGGGTTCGCCCCACACGATGGGCCCAGTGCTGGTGGTGACTTCCGAGCCATCCCGCGTCACGTATTTGCCGTTGGATTCCATATCTCCCTAAGAGCGTGGCGCGCAATGGCGTAAGATGTGGGTAGCATTGACAAACGCCCGTGCGTTGAGAAGCCACTTACTTGCTGAAAGTATGCTGCAAATCGGTGCATGTATTGGTCGTAGGGCAGCAGAGCATGGGTTTGTGCCCCAAAAAAGTTGTTGTACCAAATGCCGAGAAGAGCCAGGGTAACGGGCACCTGCACGGCGGCGGAATGTGAATTGAGCCAGAGGGCTTTAAGACCCTGAGGTGAACGCGCAGCTTATTTGGGGGGGGGGGGGGGGGGGTGCGAGGATCACGCACGTTCTTCTCCAATGGCGCGGTGCAGAAGTGGTTGTCCATATCATGAGCACCTGCCAGCAGTGCCTCAAAGTTCTCAAAGCCAATGTACAAGGCAATGCTCATGCCAATGGCCGACCACAGCGAATAGCGGCCGCCAACCCACTATTCACATTGGCGCATACGTAAGACCATTGCACGGTGGCTCACTGGTGTAGCGCGCATTAAAAAGGTGGATGTCAGCACGTACATCCCAGAACTCGAACATGTTGGCGGTGTCGATGCCAAAGGCGGAGACCTTTTCCTGCGGGCGAGGAGCCAAGTGCGTGCGTGCGTGAGCGTTGTCGGTGGCTTCGACCGAAAATAGAATCAGGGGGCTGCCAAGGGGGCAAAGGCTAACCTTGTTCGTGGAGAGAGCCACAAAATGCTTGGCAATGTGTGCCTGGTCCTGAGCCTTGGCCAAAAACCATTCCTTGGCCGTTGTGGCATTGGTGATGGTTTCCTGAGTGGTGAATGTCTTGGATGCGATGACAAAGAGCGACGTCTCCGGGTTGATGCGCTTCAGAGTCTCAGCCATATGGGTGCCGTCAATGTTTGAAACGAAATGAACGTTGATGGGGCCTAGCATAAAGAGTGTGGATGAGGTGATTACGCTTCAGTCAAATCGTGTGACACATCGATGTGCACCATGAAAGCGGGGCGATGTGAGCACTTCGTACCGCCATAGGGTTTGAGGGCCTCGGTCACCATGAGAGGACCAAGATCAGAGCCACCAATGCCAATGTTGACAACGTCCGTGATAGCCTGGCCAGTGTAGCCCTTCCAGCTGCCCGAGCGCACAGCGCCCACGAACTCGCGCATGTGGTCGAGAACCTAGGGATGAATCAAAACGCACGTGCGCCACTTGAATCAACGCAATGGAACCATTGCCATTGGGATATATGCACTGTCGAGCCCGAAGGCGGTTGAGTGGCCATACCGCATTGACGTCGCCCATGACGTCCTGCCCGTCGACCTTGATGGGGTCATTGCTGCGGTTACGAAGGGCCACGTGCAGGACGGCACGATCCTCGGTGAAATTGATCTTCTCACCCCTAAAAAGTAGCGACAGAGTTGAAGGATTTCGGGCTCCACTTGGGTGAGTGGACTTGCAAGAGGCCAAGACCATCAGGAGCAAGCCGTGAAGTGGCATGGCATCTAACTTGAACATTTGGTCGCGGCCAGCTTCAACCTGGCGTTCCCTAGCCACATCGTAAAGCAGCTTCATGGTCTCGGCATCCACACGGTTTTTGCTGTAGTCAACCAGGAAGGGGCCATCGGCCAAGTCCAGCTTCAGGCTATGGCATGAACGAGAGCGGAACGCCGGGCGTGAGGGCTGGCCGCGGGCGGGGGTTGTTTCAGCGGTTGAGGCGGGCCCGTTGATCCGGAGCCGTTAAATACGGTCTGACCTAAAGTCATCAAAGCGCTTCGAGTCGGCGGCAAAGAGCTCGCGCATGTCCAAATTCTTGCCCTTGGCGTCATAGTGCTGTTGCAGCGCGTCCCAGGCAGCCATGATGATGTTGGTGATGGATGAAAATCAAGTCAAAGAATAAAAGCAATCTCAGCTCAAGTAAATACAAAGCAGTCTATGCCAAGATAGCGTCGCCATTGGTGAGTAAACCACTGTGCACGCCCAGAGTCGCGCGCCATGGAGCCCTGTTCCATCCCAATCGAAACGAGTTTTTCAAAGCGATATGGTGCCGGTTTCTGACTCCCGATTCCCTTCTCGAACAAAGCCAAGCGTGGCCACAGCGCACGCCCGTGTGCACTGACGTACAGCACAGTTTTGTAGTTCTGGAGTCCAGCCAGTCGCTGCGTCCGTTCGTCCGTCCTGCCGTGTGAGCGTGTGTGAGTCAGTGGCAGACGAGAGAGAAAAAAAAAATGTCGTCATCTCGCCACACACAACCAGAGAGTTCCAACATGATGTTATGCGCATCCGGATGTAATTTTTAATTTTAGAGGGAGAAGACAAAAAGAGATGAGAGAGAGAGAGAGACGAGAGATTTGAGGGAGATTTGAGAGAGAGAGATTGGGAGAGATTTGAGAGATTGGGAGAGATTTGAGAGAGAGAGAGAGAGATTTGGGAGAGAGAGAGAGAGATTTGGGAGAGAGAGAGAGAGATTTGGGAGAGAGAGAGAGAGAAAGAGAGAGAGAAAGAGAGAGAGAGGAGAGAGATTTTAAATACGGGAGTTACTTTACATTTTCCTTCATTTGAACGGGTGCTGGGGTGCTGGCGGCGACGGCGGGTGTGAGAGCTAGAGGAAGAGTCCGCCCGTGTGTGTGTGTGTGTGTGTGTGTGTGTGTGTGTGTGTGTGTGGGACGAGAGGGAGGAGGAGGAGGAGGAGGAGTAGTATTAGTAGTGGAGGGGAGGCGCTCTATGGGGTGGCGTAACATGTGCTTTGTGGACTGCTTTTCGGAGAATTTCAAGGCTCAACCAGAGCGCGCGGCGGCGGCAGGATGGCGCGGTCGTGCTTTATGGGTTCGCGCAAGACAGCAAACGTCTTGCTTGGCTTGGTTGTCCTAAGCCTGATCAGCGACCTGGCAAGCGCGCAAGCCAATTGGACCATGCCACGCGTGACCTCGGAACAGCTGGTGTGTGGGTTGTGGCAGCTCCTTTTTGGCTTTCCGATCGAGGGGCAAAGTGCTCACTCGCTCTTTGCTTGACATGCTCTTGGACGTTGTGGGCAAGCAGGCGTCGGTCTGTGTGGCCGACGAATTCATGGCCTGCTCCAGCCTGCGTCCATCGTGCCTCGACTGTACCTTTAATGGCATGAGCATTGCCCATGTATGGCACAACTGCTCATACGGTCGAAGCATCCGCCTCAACTGCACCGTGCGCCACGAAGGCATCCCCTGTCGGGTGCGTGCTCGGGCCTATGTTCATGCCATCGATCTCCTTGATCAAAGGGGAGCAGAAGCTCATGTGATCGCACACGTCCAATTCCGTCCCACTCGCAGGGCCCACGCTCTTTTGAGCGCAACACAACCTGCCAATACTGCTATCAGCGTCAGGCCTATCAATGTACCAACAGCTCTGATTGCGATGTATGTGACGCTCGAGCTTCCGCTGTCAACATGCAGCCGGTTTACCCGGCCAATTTATCGAGGGCGGTTGAGTGCAGAAGAAAGGGTTAACACTGTCTTTTCCATGATCCATGGTTGTGGCCACCTGATTGGCTCAACCCTTTCTTTGTCGCTTGGCCGCTTGTTGTAGTCGTACAACCCTCAATCTCGGTACCTGGCCCAGTGTGTGCCACATCCTGAGCACTTTTGCCTTGGTGAGTGGTCCCGATCATCTCATCCCGTCCAGTATGGTGTTCTATCTCTGGACTTGCTTCTTCTGCGCCAACCAGAGGGGTTTCCGTGACGTAACAGTGCTGGGTGAAACTTGATTTTGGTTTTAGGTTCTCGGCAATACGCCAAGAATCGGGCTTGCAACTGGTCGGATGGCCGGCATCAAAGCACCGCTTTTCTCTACAGGTACGAACGTTGGTGTCCATGCTTGACATGTGAATTCATTGACGGCGGCCTTTTTTTTGGCTCACGGATATCTGCATCTGCCCAGCCTTTTTTTGGGTGGATTCGGCGGTGATCGCTTCTATTTGGGCAACGCAGGATTTGGCGTTTTCAAGCTCCTCAGCTTTTCGGGGCTCGGGGTCTGGGGTTTGGTTGATGCCGCCCTTGCGGCGTTGGGCGGCTTGCATGGTAATGATTTGCTTGTCAACGCCTAATTCGTTCTGTGGCGCTGAGCGCTTCGTTTTGGGCCATCGCGCCCCGATGACATTGATTCGAAACAATCTCACTTGCTACATCCAGATGTGTATCCCTATCCGAGCGCACGTCCATTCTTAACGGCTGGCTGAGACACCGAGACACCGAGACACCGAGACATTGAGACTCAAAGACACAGACACAGAGACACAGAGACACAGAGACACAGAGACACAGAGACACAGAGACACAGAGACACAGAGACACAGAGACACAGAGACACAGAGACACAGAGATACAGAGACACAGGGATACAGAGACACAGAGACACAGAGACACAAAGACACCAAGACATAGATACACCCAAACCCTAGACCAGACATCAGACATCAATCACCAAAGACATCAAGACACACAAAGACATAGACAGACACAAAGTTGTCACAAGCAGTTTTTTTTTTTATATTTTTTTGATGTTGAAGCACGAACGACGGAGGGAGGGCATCGTTGGACGAAGCGCAAGAGAATAGGGAGGGCATCATGGCTGGAATGGCTCCTTCCCGATCAAGCAGCGGGGCTGCCGGGTCGGCAACCCCGGGCAAGTCAGACGTGGCCTCGTTGGACGACTGGCTCCAGAGGCAGCGCAGCCTGTTGGCAATGGAGCAGAAAGCTGAGGCCGAGGTTTGTCGGGTTGGCCCTCTTTCCCTAGTCTGGTGCAAGAGCTTGGGAAGAGCTCATTGGTACCCGTCGCGTTGTATCGCACAAATTTGCCAAATCCCTATGGGCAGGCAGTGGAGCCCTTGCGTCGGGATAACATCAAGCGACTCGAGGCAGCCGGTCTCGTCGTGCGTCGTTTAGCAATGGAGGATGGGCGCACTGGCATGAATGGCCGCTTCATTGTGCGCTTTGGGCGCAGCGCTGCTGCCACTACCCCGGATGATCGGTCAGTGTGGGCATGCTAGATGAAAGCCAACTATCTTCGGAACACGCTTTGGGTTGATCTACACCACCAGTGCTGACTGGCTGCTATCACCTCCCACCAGCAATGGCCTCCCAGCGCATAAGTTTAGGTATGCCTCGTCCCACAAGCACACGTCCGTGCCTTCTGTTGGCTTGGAGTCACCTCATTGACACAACGTGCGGCTTTGCTGGTTCCAGTCCCGGCGATCTGACAGCCGTGGCTCGATCCAACGAGCCGGAGAAAACGCTTGCCACGGGCGTCGTGACCGCTGTTGATGGTAGGTCTCTGCAAGCAGAGCCTCAGTCATTTTCTACTGACCGGAACACTAGCGGCCGGTCCTCGTTTGTCTGACCTTGCACAGAGTGGTTGCAGTCCTACCTGCACACTAAGACCACCGTGTGCAGCCGGCCATTAAGCTTGGCTGTCTCCCCGACCACGCGGCCCTCATCCTTGTTCTCTGAACTTGCTAGGGCGCACGATTCGCGTGGCATTTGAAGCAGACACAGATGATGATGGTTTTGCTGATGTTCAAACGGCAAACAATTTGCTTCTTTACAAGCTCTCCAACACAGTCACCTATCGCCGTATGATGCTGTGCGTTTAGTCTAGAGATACATAGAGATGCCCGCCAGCAACACCTCCTCTTCTCCAGTGCAACGAATCTGGTGACATGCGCTGAAACCTTGCCTCTTTTTTCTCACACCAACCGCCCTTCATGCTTGTATGACTGCGGACCTTTGATGGTTGTAGTACGCTGAATCTGATGACTGACCCAGAATGGCCAGGGGCTCTCAACGCCACCCGCCTTTACAACAAAGAAAATCTCCAGCAACTTACTCAATCGGCGACACCCCGCCCCTCGGATCCTGAGCTATCATTTGTCAACCCAGGCCTAAACGACTCGCAGCGTGCAGCCGTGCGCTTTGCACTTTTGAGCCAGGGCATCTCTCTGATCCACGGTCCACCCGGTAAAGAGTCCTTCTTTTGAGGGCCAAATTTGCCATTACACGCTCGTTGCTTTGCTCTAAATGGTTCATGTCGTGTCATTCACCCCCGGGGGGATGTGGTTCTTTCGTTTGTTCCCTCTGTTCCAGGCACGGGCAAGACAACCACTGTGGTCGAGCTCATCCATCAATGCGTGCGACAGGGGCTGAAGGTGCTCGTCGCAGCCCCCAGCAATATGGCGATTGATAACATTGCTTTAAAATTGGCCCAAACCAAGGTTTGTAGCTTCTTGAGTCGCTGCAATCTCATTCCGCATGACCTCGCCAAGCGTCCATGGCTTTGGTTGCGGTGAGGGTTCACAAGAAACAAACAAAAACAGGCTCAACGTCTCAATGTGATGGTGGCAGGGCATCAAACTTGTGCGCCTAGGCCACCCAGCTCGGTTGCTGCCGCAGGTCCAAGAGCATGCCCTGGATGCCGTTCTCGAACGCAGTGACGTAGCTGAAGTCACACAGTAGGTCATGGCTCGTCGTGTTCTCAAGCTCTCGACGACACCCAATGCTCAAGTGACAAGCAACATTTTCCCATTTTCCCGTTGCATTTTACTTAGAGGCATTCGCGAGGACATTACCCAAGCCGTCAAAGGACTGCAAAAAGGACCGCGTAGTGCACGGCGGGGCCATGCTGCTGAGCTGAAAACTTTACGTAGGCACCCGCTTTATTGCCGGCCCGTAGCATTTACCCAGTATCCAGAATAGCCAGCCGGCTCGCATTGCAAGCAGAACATGTAATGATGGACGTTCGTTTGTGGGGCGCTGTCTCGCAGGCAAGGAATTGCGCGAATACCAGCATAAGGGAATTACCCAGGTCCTTCGTGCCGCACAGGTGGTACTGGGCACCACAACCACCGTATCAGCCAGCGGCTCCTTGAAGCATTTGCCCAAAGGTGCGGCGTTGTGCAGCCCACTCAGAATGGGTCGTTGCTCTGACGCTTGGCTATGCAACCTGCTCGCCGCGCTGACCGACCACCATGGCATTGTAGAGCATTTTGACGTGGTCATCGTGGATGAGGCGGGTCAAGCACTGGAGGTGGCATGTTGGAGTGCGCTCATACACGCGCGCAAGTAGGTGCCTGCGTGCACACTCGTCTGGCCGGCACAAACATCATTGTTTCTTGATGCGCCTGAGATTTGGTGATGCTTCACTTCATCTGACGTGACCGGCCTATTTATTTCACGCGAGCAAACAGGATGGTTTTGGCTGGTGATCACTGGCAGCTACCTCCAACAGTCACATCAAAGGAGGCAGCCAAGCAAGGCCTGGCTTACACGCTCCTTGAACGTGTCCTATCTGTCTGCGGCGGGGAAACAGTTTGCATGCTCGATACACAGGTGCGCTTTGAATGTTTGGACGATTTCTTGCCCAATGGGCGATGTATTGGCTTTGAGTATCTCATCGTTTCCTCCGGGCATTCCGTGACTGGTCCGGTAGTATCGAATGCACGCATGCATACAAGGCTGGTCATCATCGCAGTTTTACGAGTCTCGGTTGCGCGCTGATGCCAGTGTCATGGGCCACACTCTTGCCATGCTGCCAAACGTGCAAGCCGATGAGGTTTGGCCATGTTGCTCCTCTTTGCCTGGGCCCTGTCTTCGCCATGGCTCATGAACCGCCACCGATCACCATAACACAGCTGACGGAGGTGCCGCTCCACTTTGTTGATACATCGGGTTGCAGTCTGTACGAGGCGGTGGGGGAAGATGACCTGTCAAAATACAACACGGTACGTCACGTAACGGCCACAAGGCCTTGTAGCCTTATTTTTATTGTTTTTATTATGATATTTTTTTTTTTTTTGATCTACAAGTTGTCTCTATTCAGTTCCCTCCTGGTATTTTGTACGCGTTGGATAGGCCGAAGCCGCCATTGTGGTGCACCACGTGCAGCAGCTCGTGGAGCTGGGCGTTCCTCCTTCTGAGATTGGCGTGATTACGCCGTACAACATGCAAGTGGAGACAATCCGCGGTCGTCTCCGCGAGGCTGGCCTTTCCTCGGAAATTGAGGTCCTCTCTGTGGATGGTTTTCAGGTTCGAAGTGCCGAATTGTGTGTTTGGTCGCAAAATCACGGATCTGTGTAGGGCATGTGCCCAGCGTGTAGTACGAAGCTTTGCGCAGGTTTAGACTGACGGCCGTTTGCTTTGGCTTTGTAGGGGCGCGAAAAGGAGGCCATCTGCATCTCCATGGTGCGCTCCAATCCAGACTGTAACATTGGCTTTTTGAGTGACTTTCGACGAATGAATGTGGCTGTGACGCGCGCGCGGCGACACTGCTTCTTAGTCGGCGACAGCCGCACCATTTCGGCCGAAACGCATCTGGCTGCACTTACTGATTACCTCTTTGAGTTTGCTTCCGTGTCCAGTGCACGCGAGTTTGCCGACTTGCCTGGTGTGGACATAGTGCATCAGAGCCAAAGCGCAGGTGTTAAGGCCCCCTCGGGTCGGCGTGACAGAAGCCAGATTGAGGCATCCCGTGGAGATCCAGCAGCTGTGTCTGCCGCTGCAGCAGCGGCAGACGAGGCATTTTTAGCCGACGTTTGGCCCAAGGTGGAGTCCTACTTGGGTCAACACGCGGTGTGGCAGGCATCTACCAAGCTGTCGAGCTATGAACGCCGCCTGCTTCACGTCGCCTGTGAACAGCATGGGTTTGCCACGATGAGCCGCGACGTGGGCAAGGTCGACCCCAAGACAGGCACCCGAGCCCATCGTCAGCTTTTGATCGCAAAGACCCAGGCGGCCCTGGATCTCTTTTTGAACCCTGCTCCGCCCCCCAAGCTAGCCAGTGACGCGCAGCAAGCAACTTCAATAGAGCAAGCGACGGCCAGCCCGAGTTTCGAGGACAGCGAGGATTCCTTGAATGAATCCTCGGTGAGCTCCTCACCGTCGGTCATCGACTCTGATGCTACTCCAGCCCAGGTCAAGACGACTGCGCCGCAGACAGATGCGGCCGTTGGCAGAACAAATCCAGCCGCCAAAGAGGATGAAGATGAGCCGGAAACAGACGCTCAGCGGGTCTTGCGTGAGCGAGCTGAACGACTGGCTGCCCAGCGTGCGCGCACAGAGGAAAGCGCAAGCCTGCATGCAGCTGGTGAAGGTCGGGCCGGCAACAAGGCCACATCACGCCACACAGCTGCAAGCCAAAGCCAAAGCCAAGGCCAGGGCAAGGGTAAGAGCAAGAGCAAGAGCAAGAACAAGGGCCCCAAGGAAGCTCAGAGCAAGAACACGTCAGGCAAAAACACGTCAGGCCATCGACTTGGAGGATCAGGGCGGCCCGCAGCCCCGGCCACTGAGTTGGACGACCTCGTGGCGGCCATTGAGGGTGATGGCGATGTGACCAGCGTTCAAAGACAACACAACCCTCGCACGCCAGCGCAACGATACATTGAAAATGGTAAGTGTGCGTGCGTTGCACGTGGAATGCCCTACACCTGTTGCCTTCGACTTGAGCAATCAATCAGGGTGTGCCTCAACTCCCTCTTCTCATGTGTCAATCACGCCAGGTGTTTTGCGTGCTGCATCGGGTCCTCAACGGTCAAGCACTGAACAGAAACGCCACTCTCAGCTAGCCAAGTACGTTCATGCGTGGATCGGTTTATACTCCAGCCGAGTCAGCAAAAAAAAAAAAAAAAAAAAATTGCACACACACACGTCGGCTGCCATCATAATATGAATGTTTTGTTTCGCCCGCAGCAAACTTCAAAAGTCAATTTCTGTCAAGCAAACGGAACGCGGCAAAAAGCCAGCAGCCAAGAAGTAAGCGCTACTTTCTGGGTCAGGTCAAGCTGCTACCCATCAGCTTCTGCTCATGGCTCAGCCGACCAAAGGCCACCGTATTAAGGCCAACGTCGCAGCAAGCACACAAAAATCAAAACGTGCAGTAAAATTTGACTCGAGACATGCACGAAATCACCGCCATGTCAATGTATTCAATGCCAGATGAGATATTCACACTCAGCACCACGCAAGCATAGCGAGCACTGGTAAAGGGGGTCTCCACCAAACATGGGGAAAGTCATCAAGATGGGGAGGAAGGGAGCTCATAGTCGCAGCGATGGTGTGGGGATGGGGGCGCTCGAGGCTGTCCCTTTAATACTTGACCGCTTATGCCATGCTTTCTTCTTCTTGAATGGCTGCCTCTTGGTGATCTTCGCCTGAGCTTTCTTCGTGATCACCCTCAAGGCCGGCTTCATGCTCACGGCAGAGCTCCTCCAGCTCGCGCTTGAGGCGCTGAAAGGCTTCCAAAAAGTCCATTTTGTCGCTCAGCCGATCAAACTATGGAACAGAGCAACCCAACCCAGGCGAGTACATGAACGCCGCCAAAAGTCAGGGCAGGCACGGCATTTTTCAAAAAAGCCAGTGAAAACCATTATTTCGGAAGAGACGCAAACCAGGGCAATACCTTGACAATGAATCCAGTGGCACGCGAGGAGAGGCTTGAGCGGCGCGTGGAGCGACGCAGTGATCCACCGCGCACGGGCGCTTGCACCGTCATGGCCAACTGCATCTGCTCCTCATCGGTGCCGTCATCGCCAGTTGTATCGACCGGTGTCAAGTGCAGCACAGGGATGGGCTGGTGGGTGTTGGAGCAAAAGAGAGTGTGAGAGAACGACCTTCGGAAACATGAACCATTTTGTAAGAGCGTTGATACGCTGCTCCAAGCGCTTCCGAGCCGAAACATGCACACGGAGAACCATCCATACCTTGGCCACCAGCGTCATTTTGGCATCAGCGGCCTTGGACTTGAATTTGGTCGCAAGAATGTGTGTATCAAAGAGGTAGAGATTGATAGGATGACTTTTATGCGCCTATGGGTCAAGTACAGGCATGCAAATTCAGATTAGATGTGGACGGACCAATGCGCACACACTGGCAGACGAGGCACCGACCTTGTCCACACGTTGGCCCGTGCAGTAGAATAATAGTGGAGTCATGATGGGGTCTGGAGCATGTAGAGCACGGTCAAGAGACTCGGCAAGTTCGGTCGCCTGCGGGCCAGCAAAAAGCACAATGTCAAATGCGTGTCATCAAGCAGCGGCCATGCAAGCCCACGTGGAGGAGCGTTTAGGGGGAGTGGGGCGTACGCGATCGGCAAGGCTGTCGCGGGTGACATTGTTGATGTAAGACACAGTTTCATGACATAGCTGCTCAGCAGCCAGGAGATCAGAATACTCTGGGTGGTCTTTTGGTGTTTCCTTGAGCAAGCGGGAAACAAAGAGCTTGTAGCCAGCCATGCGGGTGCGTGGGAAATCAAGCATCGCGTCCAGCTCCCGACCGTGTGCTTCGTGACACCGGCTGGCCAGCTGTCGAGCAAACACGGCGTCGATGAGCCATGCAACAACGACACGACAGCTTGGAGTTGTGATATGAACTGCCTAGGGCAGGCGCTGCACAAACCTTGTCAAACTCGAGGAGTTGATCGCGGTTCTTGTCGTGCTTGAGCGCACGGAGCAGGTGCTTACTGCGGCGTTGGCCCGAGCAATAGATGGCATAGGGACCACGAGCCATCGGCAGCTATCAAGATGTTCAAGGCCAAGGTGAGATCTTCAATCTCATTTCACATCCGAAAGAAGAACAATACACACAAAAACGAAAAAAGAAAAAAGAAAAAAAAACCCAGAAGTCCCAGCACCCTTAGTCCTCAGCGGTTTTGACGGACCCAGGCCATAAGAGCCCGCCCGATGTTGGGCAGGGCAGAGGATTGTCGATTATTGAGCAGCATCAACAAGTCTTCTGAGAGTTGGCGAATCTCCATGTAGTTGGTGAAAATGATATCCCGCTGTTCGTCGGTGAAAAGTTTGAAGGCGGTACTTGACTTGTCATAGATCTGGTACACGTGAAACATGTTGGTACATGCCGCCTCCTCGCCCTGCACCAACTCTTGGATGATCTGCAAGCAGATGAGTGTGTGCAAATGAAGCATGTGAAGCAATGTGAGAGAAAGGCGACCAGCATAGGAAGGGTCAAAGCACTCGCCGAGCAGGAATTTAACGCACGAAAAAGCGCTCGCGCTCCGCTTCGGTCACGGCGTCTTCATCGGGGAGTTGAACGTGGCGGAGCGAGAGTGTGCTGTAGCTGCGCGTGGGTTTTTTCCGACTGCGATCGTGGAGGGCGCGGGGGTCAATGTCATAGGAGATGCTCTCTTTGGGCATGGTGGTATAGCCATGTGCGCCCCCTCGCTTGGAGCCCCGGGAGCTGAGCGAGCGCGAGAATCGTCGCGCAGAACGACGCATCGGGGATAGAAGACTGGCCGCCTTTTCCTTGAAGCTGGAAAACCGACGAAGGCTGCGCTGCGAGGAGGTGCTCAAACGTTTTGCCTGCTTGTTGGCAGGTGCACCGCTTGCATCGCCCTGGTCCTCGTCGTCCGAATCCAGCGGGCGAAGACTGCTGAGGACAAGCTCAGGCTCTGCGTTGAATTCCTCATCGTCAATCTGGTTGATTGTGGGGGCCAGGTCCTTGGCCGGGGCGGGTCGCTTGATTGCGCGATGGCGTGTGATGTTGGATGCATTGGTGTCATTCTCCAACTGGAGATTTTCCTCCCGCTCTGCCTCATCATGTGCACGCTTGCGCGTCATGGGACTGGCCGTCTGTGAGAGACAAAGCGAGCGTTCGTGAGCAAAATCGAGGCCCGACACATCTATCCAGAAGTCATCGACTTGAGAGAGTGAAGCCAAGCCAAGGTATCGCAACGATAACAACCACAAGACCCATTCACCTGGGACATGGCGCCGCGGGCGCGCTGCTTGGTGTCGAGAAGGAAAAGGAAAAACACAGTTTTTGAAGTTTTTTTTTTTCCGCGAATTTCTTCACTTCGGCACAATGCTGACAAATAAAAATGTGATTTTGAAAATTGCCGCGAAACCGATCGACATGAAATTGTGAATCAAATTACAGACCAAACGTAGTGCACTTTTGATACAAAAAGGTCTGTCGGACATGACTGCGTGTGTGTGTGTGTGTGTGTGTGTGTGTGTGTGTGTGTGTGTGTGTGTGAGTGAGTGACAGCAAACTCAGTGGCGGGTCAACGGTCGGTGTCGGGTGTGGCAGCCAGTGATCACACGCCCGACGGCAGTGCCGCGAGGCATTTGTGTGCGCCAGGTTGATACGCAAAGATGGGGCTTGTGTGGGTGGATCGTGTTCTTTTGCATGGTGTTTGTCTTTGCAGGCTCGACCTGTGTGCATGAATGTTGTTCGGGTTTCGTGCTCTTGGCATGACGGATGGGGGCTGGGATGCTTTGGTTTGGGGCGAATGCCTTGGAATTGGCATGTCTCTCAGCACTCGACTGGGTTTCTCATATCATTCTGGCTGGTGGTCACTTTCCTCGCTGACAGGAGGAAGAAGCCACGGTTTTCTGGACCGTCCTCTTCCTTTTTTTTTTTTTTTAACCGCCTTGATCCTTCTTTGACGGCTTCCGGCAAGAACGCCATCATGTCGTACGGTGGAGACCGCGATCGCCCTGGCCGGTAAGCTCTATTTTTTCTGCTTGAACACACCTACGACATGCAAGGCCAATGGGATTGGGCAAGAGCGGCATGCGTTGAGGTTGAGCTGCCCGAATCGTCACTCGTCGAGCTCGACTGGGTCCTCGAGCTCCACCCCACCACGATGGCAAACCTTATCAAGATCGCGAGTGCGAGTGCAAGGCAGAGGGAGGCACAGTGAGGAACAGAGGGGAAGTGAGGCATGCGGCTATCATGTGGGGCCGCGTCCACGCCGTGGCTTCTCGTAACCCACGATCAACATCACCATCACACCTACACGAACAGCCTTCTCGCCTTCATCGCCTGGACGGGCGCTACACACAACAGCCACCGTCGTTGTCGATCCAGGGTTGGCGCCAACTTTGATGCCCTTTGCGGCGCCCTCTCCTGTTACACTTGGCGCCAACAACCGACTGGCCATCGTTTTGACCACTATCTTCTTGCCCTTCCCCCTCCACTCCGCCCTCTATTGCTGTTCATTGCGCTCTTTGCCCATCAACGTTGTCTACTGTTTTGTACACCTGCCTGGTCATCTTTTGCCCTGGCGTCCGTGATCATCATGCTCGTACTGTGGTCAAGGTTGTGCTCGTGCTCGTGCTTGTCAAGATGGCGGCCTTCATCAGCATCTAGTCGTCGTTATCCCCCCCTCGTCAACTGAGAGAAAGGGCAAGATGGCGAGGTCTATCATCTGGCGGTGCAGGGTTGTTTCAGAAGTTTCATCTCAGAAGTTTCATCAGCAGTTATTGAGCGTCGCATGTGCACACGTCTTGGAACCGTCGTTTTTCTCAGCCCCAGCCCCAGCCCCAGCCTCAGCCTCAGCCTCAGCCTCAGCCTCAGCTCAGCCCTGGCAGCATCATCCATACACTCAATTCATTCTTCATCAAGCCGTGCTAGCATGCCGACACGTCGTGACTCGCGAATGAATCTCAACACTTGAAAAGCCCTCAACCCGACCCGCCCCGTCTTGATCAACATCTTGACCAATTTTTCTTCATGCCCTTTCATGCTCATCTTTGCCCTTGCTTTTGCTCTATCCTGCGCCCTGATCTCCAGCGATGACCGCGACCGCAAGCCCTTTGACGACCGCTACATGGACACGCGCCGTGATTTTGACCGCCGTGATGATCGCCGTGATTTTGACCGCCGCGATGATCGTCGTGACGACCGCCGCGACGACCGCCGTGATTTTGACCGCCGTGATGATCGTCGCGATAGCTACCGCCGTGATGATCGCCGTGATGACTATCGGCGCCGTTCCCCAGATCGCCGTGACGACTATCGTCGCCGCTCGCCCGAGCGTCGTGATGACTATCGTGGTGGACGTCGTGATGATTATCGCGGTGGTCGTGATGACTACCGTGGCGGCCGTGATGGCTATCGTGGTGGCCGCGACGACTACCGTGGACGTCGCGACGACTTTCGCCGCCGCTCACCGGAACGCCCCCGCGCCCCCCCGCGCCGTGGCCCACCTCAAGACTGGGAAATCGATCCCAAGGACATGCCAGCGGAGGATCGCACCCGTGAGGAGTTGCAGCTTCAAGATCGCGAGGTTGCCTTTGTAATTGGCACGGTAAGCTGTGCCTGCTCCAACACGGTCTCTAGTTTCTTGCTATGGATTCAAGCCACATCGCCATATGTACCATACACGCCTGCATCCATGACTTGCCTGACTTGCCTCGCTCTGGTTTTTGCACTCGTTGTATACTTGGACATGATTTTTTTGCAGGGTGGCTCCACCAAGCGCAAGATTGCCCGCGCTGCCAACTGCCGCATGGACATGTTCAATGAGGGCCGTCTCGAGTTTAGTGGCAAGCCTACAAACTGCCGACGTGCATTGGAATATGTGCAACTTGTGCTGAAGCAGCGCCATGGTGCGCAAACTGCGGGTTCTTGGCCAACGCGTGGGACAGTGTACGGTCAGCTGTTAGTTTTTTTCTGATCGGGCCTTGTCTCTTTCGCAGGTGTTGTTCACATTGACTTTGCCGAGGACCGGGAGGATCTGACTGCTGTGGACGTGCCCAAGGAGTGCGTGGCCTACGTGACGGGTCGTGGCGGCATTGCATTGCGCACGATTGAGGACGAGTGGGGCACGCTCATGTTTTTTGCAAAGGACAAGGGCGAGGATCCTCATTCACCCAAGGACACAGAGAAACTTGCCATCTTTGGTACCCCCCGTGCCCGCTGTGGTGCCGAGCTGAAGGTTCTCTCGGCTGTTGAATTCAAGTCACCTGGCTTTTTCTTGGATGGCACCACCCCACGTGCCGAAATGAGCTGGTGTGTATTTTTTTTGCTTCAACTCACGCGGGGTTAAGCTTCTCGCCTTTTTTTTTTTTTTTTTTCTTTTTTTTCTTCTGTTTTTCTTTGATTTCATCATCATCCACCCTAAAATCGTGCTGACTGTGCCCATGACAGGTACGATGACTACAACGGTGATTTTGGCGTTGAGACCATGGTGCTGGGCGAGAGCGACTACTCGTATGCTTTGGGCAAGCGCGGCGCGACCCGTCGCAAGCTGGCAACTGCAGCGGGCTGCATCCTCGAATACATTGGCCGCGTATGTTGCTCGCACTTGCTTGGGTCTGGTTGTGACCTGTGAGAAGGCGACAGACACACAGAGCTCACATATCTTGGATTTGGTTCTTCCAGGTGGCCTTCTTCGCAGGCTCGCGCAGTCAACGGGAGCGTGCTCGTGACTACCTGTCCTGGCTGCTGCTGCAGCGCACGTCGCGTGTCAAGATCGATGAAACGACGCGTGATGACCTTACTGTCTTGGTCGTTCCGACTGAGACCGTTGGCTTTTTGACGGGTGCGCATGGCCGCAACTTGCGCGAGGTGGAGCTGGAGACGGGTACATTCTGCTTCGCAGACGGCGACAAGGCCGTGCAGCATGCCAATGAGAACATTTACATCTTCTGCCATGACCCGGAGGCACGCGCCGAAGCCAAGCGCATGCTTGAGGCTCGCGTGGAAATCAAGATTGGCCGTGATCGTCGCGATGACCGTGAGCGCGAGCGCAGCCGTGAACGGGAATCGACTCGCATGGACGAGCGTGATGATGATCGTCGCTCCAGCCGTCGTGATGAGGACGAGGATGACGACAGCGAGCGTCGCCGTGGCGAGGACGATTAAGTTCAGGGACCCCGGGTTTCGGCCCCTATCCTTGAGGGACACGACTCGTTGCATTTTTTCTGTTCTGTTTTGTTGTAGCCTGGCGCTGACCCAATTGTTCGTTTTCTTGCCGAGTTGTCTCAGTTTTTTTTCTTTCCTTTTCTTTCTTTTTTATGTGTGATGGATGGGCAGCTGTTTCGGATCCGAATGCTTGATGTTTAATGCGGTTCCAGGACTTGACTGTGATACTGCAAATGGCTTTGACCAATGCCCAATTGAGTGTGGAAAGGCTTTGCTCATTGCCAACAAGTCACTGGTGGGAGCGGATTCATGAAATTGAATTTTGCGTTCCAGGCAAGATATGCGTCAGCACTACCTCAGGTAGCACGCACAGCGAGGTGACGCACACGTCTTTTTCTGAAGATGAAAAAGGTTATGCCGCTTGCACGTTTTGCGCGAGCTCTCTTTTTGAGCGTGGGTGGGGAAGACCCACAATGGCGTAAGCCAATAGCCAGTTGAAGAAGGCAAAGGGTCCAACAAGCAACCGCGACCAAAAGGTGGGAAGGAATACACCAGGGGTACAGGGGGGTTGCGAGGTGGTGCACCACGGGTGAAAGTAAAAAAGCAGCGAAGCAACGACCAGGTGGGGACGGATGGAGCAGTAGGCAAAGGAGAAAGGAAAAGGAAGAGGCAGGTGGAGAGGAGGTCGCCAAGGGCCAGAAGAAGTTGAAACGGGCTCGCGAAAGGAACGTCACGGCGATGACAACCGGGGTTGTACGGTTAGAAGAGCGCCGGGGCAACCCAGACCTCAAAGATCAAGCCACAGAGCCACATTTGATGCCAGTGGAAGGGGTCCATGTCCACGTAAATGTCATCGAGAAGGAGATGGCCACGTGATTCGATCAAACCCCAAGTCAAGTGGAAGATGGCGGCAATGAGGCCGTGGTGGGTGCGGCAGGGCCAGCCCTTGTAGTATAGGTTGAGCGCCACCACGATGGGCGGGAGAATGTGCATGATAAAGTTGTAGAAGTGAAAGACAAGACCCGTGGGCAAGCCATTGCGCTTGATGAGCCGGGCCACACCAGTGGTGTCCTGAATCCAGCCGAGGTGAAACGAGGTGATGACGCCGAGGCTGGATGCAAAGCTGATGGCCAAGAGGCTTGGGCTCTGAAGCATCGAGGCCACGAGAAAGAGGGAGAGATTCCAGAGCGTAAAGCCTGCTCGGCGTTGCCGCAGCTGGTCCCATGCCGACGCGTGCATTGCTAGGCTACTCAACAAGCTGGCCACTCGGCCAGCCTCTCGTACCCGCGGCGTGCAATGATCTCTCAAGGCGAGGGCTCAGCCGTGGGGGTTGACACTGGCTGGTGATTGCCGATGAAAGACCAATCCAAGCCGATCAGATGCGCGCAGGGCGAGCAGCGGGCGAGCCAGGTCTTTTCGTCGGTACACTTCAATCCCAACGCAAAGGCAAGCGAGCAAAAGGAGGAGACGCGGTCGTGCGATGGTGTCGTCGTGGGCCAAGCGCACGCGAGGGCCATGGGACACACACACACACACACACACGAGGCCTTTGAGATCGGTCCCCACCTCAGTGGTGCCTGGTCGCAACCCAAGACAAAGTGGCCCGCACCCAGCCCAGTCGGCTTGTTCACTCGCTGCTGCCGCTGTTGGCAGCAGAACCCCTTTTGCTCCCGCCGTCACAACCACCGTCCACTGCCACCTGCTTTTCTCCTTTGCCGCTGCCGCTCTCGCGAACCCGGAAAAAAAAAAGTAGAGCAGAGAGAGAGAGAGAGAGAGCAGAGAGAGAGAGAGAGAGAGAGAGAGAGAGAGAGAGAGAGCACAAAGAGAGAGCACAAAGAGAGAGCACATGCACACACGGGGGCAAGCAAGGCACATCAGGACACGATGTCAGACAAAAGTCATCATTTCCTGTTGCTACAGAGAGAGAGAGAGAGAGAGAGAGAGAGAGAGAGAGAGAGAGAGAGAGAGAGGAGAGGAGGTCGTTGAAAGCTGAGGAGGGGGGCTTCGGGGAGGTGCTGGGCGCGTTGCAAAGCGGCGGGGGCGGGGGCAGGGGGGAGGAAGGCGCTCGCGGGTGAGTGAGTGGGTGCGTGTATGTGGGTGTGAGATCTTCATGCTGTTGGGCTTGTGGGGGCATTGTTAAAGAGAGGGCTGTGCCGGCGCCATGCCGTACACGCCCGATGATGAGGGCCCGGGTTGGGACGTGCCTGTCGAGCTGCCCTTTTCGAATTGGTGGCTCTATACCCTGTATCACTTCGGGTGGGCCCTCATGTACTTGACCATTATGAGCTACAACAATATTCGGGCTCTCTTGCGCACTGCGCCCGGGGAACAAGTGGGTGCCCGGCGCCTTTTGCTTGTGCCTTGGATCATCCTCCTTCTCGCCACCATGCCCTGTCTGGTGGTCGGCCTTCCCTTGTACGTGCTGGCACACTATGGCCGTCGTGACTTTGTTTTTTCGACCGCCTCTGAGGTAAGCCACCTTTTGCACTCTTGAACGTGAAGAAACCCGACGCGCATGCCGCCCGAGCCAGGGGACGCCAGGGGCTGACGGATGACGAGCCGCAAGGCCCACTTGCTTGTACACCTGCCTCTGGCCTGATCCTCCGGCCCTCGCTCCACTTGACTCTTTACTCTTGGTCGCTTGTCATCTTTCAACGTTGAAGCATCGCGCTGAATTTCACATGGCCCTGCTGCACATAGCGCGTGACACGGCCGACGCACAAGACGGAATGGAACGTCGTTTCAGCCAACTTAACCCTCTTGCCAGAGAGTGTGGCCAAGCGCTACGGCCTGCGCCACACCCTGGAGCGCGCTCGCCATTCGGCTGTGCGCATCATGTCTGCCATACACACCACGGCCAACAAGGAGCTGCATCGCGAAATGCCCATCCAAAACACCCTCATGCACTTTCCCACTGCAGATTTCGTCTGCTTTCAAGGCGTACATGATCACAACGCCTATGACCGCCTACAGCATGCCCTCAACATCCACTTCCCCTACATTCTCGGCGATCCAGGGGTGTGGGTCTTTCGAAAAGGTCGCCTGGTCATGGGATCAGGCCTCATGCTGGCCTCAAAGTACCCAATCATGGCTGCGCGCTACGTGGAGTTTGCACGCGCACCGCTTGGCCGCCATGGCCGATCCCAGGGTGTGCTGCAAGCTAAAATCTTCCTTTCCAAAAAGCGCCGCACACGTGTCGGCCATCGCCGCACCGTGGCTTACATCCATCTCACGCATCTGAAGGTGTGTTCGCCCCGCTCCCGCTTGCCGGCCTTCGGGGTGTTGCTTGGCTGTTGAAAGCCATAAAGGTCACACCAAACAAAAAGTTGGCGCTTCCAAACCAAACCGTTCTTGAACCGGCCGGTGCAGTCTCGCTTTGACCCGTCTGCTCCCTGGTGTTGATTGGGGTGCATGATGTAGATGAACATGTCACGCAAAGAAAAGGCCGGGCTCCTGGATCAGCTTGAGAAGCACGTGGCAGACTTTCGGCATGATACCCATGTCATGGAGCACGAGGTGGTTGGGTTTCAAATCTTGGCTGGTGATCTGGGCTTTGATAACACGGGAACCGACTCGGCCTGCAAGCATCCCATCTTGCGACAGTACGTGCTGCGGTGCCACTCATAGACGGCGTGCCAGCGTGCATCACATGTACGGGCCTGTCTCTGATTTTGGTCGTGCGTGCGGTGGTTAGATATCACGACGTGTTTCGACAGTCGGTGGGCAAGGATGTGCCACACTCCATTGGCACCAGGTTGCAGCCACAGCAAATCGCGCTGGCGCAAGAGCCTCGCCTTTTGCGCAACATGCTTTTAGATCCCGAGGAGCGGGCGCACTTGATCCAGCCCTGTACACACCACGACACACGGCGGTCGTCGCGGCGTGCGTCTGAACTGGGGGACAGCGATGCACTCGAGATGGAGGCGCAGGCCAAAGTGCCCGGTGCTGGACGCACGTCCTACGTTTTGCTCCAGCACGCCACGCCGCCCCAGCTCCCAGCTCACCCCCAGCAGACAAATGTGATTACTGCCCTGGCCGGTCAAGCCTGTCATCTGCCCGTCCACCTCATGTTTACACTGGGCGAATCCGACGACAGTCATCAAACGGCCCTCTCCATGGCTCTCAAGGGCAGCAGTGCGCCAACACCAGAGCCGGTAGGATGATTGCCACGCCCCATCCGCCGCTTGTCGGCTCGCAGTGCAGGCCAGTCGTAAGGGGCAGGAAGCGGCGTGGACGCCAAATGACTGCCGAAAAGACTCGCTCTCATCCTGCGTACATGCCTGCTGTATCTTGTTCTTGTCTGTGCACCACACTGATAGCTCGACAGCGCCAGCACGGGAGTCCTCAATGGGTGCGTAAAGGCGTGTTTGCGTGATTGCCTTGTACACAGGACATGCCTGCCATGGTCTGGAAGGCCCTGATGCATCGTCTGATGCTGCTTGGCAATAGGCTTCACTTGTCCAACGGCGACCTCCGATCCCAGAGCGTCAACTCCTTTTTAAACCCGCCCAATCGTGGCATCGGTGGAGGTGGCAGTTCTGTCAACGTGCCCAGCTTGGCAGCGGCATACGTGGGTGCACAAACGACACAAAATGGGGTGGATGACGACGATGATCTGGCCCTCTTTCAGACCCATTTTTATCGCGGTTGCATTCGCATTGGCACCACCAAGGCCGAGGTACGGCGGAAGATGACGCGGGTGTTCACTTTTCACCAGGCATGCCTCCCTCTTCTCACCGGATGCTGGTGCAAACAGGCACGGATTGATGAGCTGGATTTGGACTCGGCCTCGGCAACCTCTTCCGAGGGTGAAAACTCGACAAACTTTGTGGTTGATGTCTCCGAGGTTTGATTAGTCTTAGAATATTATTTACCTCTTCCCGCCGCCTGTTTGTTCTGCCATCGTCTCAACCCAATTTT